ACGGGTACATTAACCCTAGACTAATTTAATTATAGCTATTATTACAGAAATTAGCAGATACTTCAGGTTATTGTACACAAGAATTTCACTTTACTTGCACATTATAAACATCAGAGAAGATATAAACTCTAAATGAAGGCGTAATTAACATTATACTTACTAAGCAAAGTTCAGCGCCTGGACCAGGTTTCCAATTGTCTCTTCGGCAATTATTTACCCATATTTTTCTTCTTTCTTCATTTTTAGGAAATTTTACCAATGTATGACCTTTCCGTGAATGATTTGAACAATTAATAGCTGCACATCCGCCCATTTTACACAAAAAAACACAAAAAATTGTTGCACCGTAACTACACAGCCGCCATTAAATCTCCCACTTGGGATCGCGAATGCCTGATGATTCAGCCTGAAGGTGGGATTTGGGTTCCCTGATTTTGTTTTTCAGAGTAAATCTTTGCCATGGGATATATTTGTGATTTCAGAAGAAGGGCTTTCAGAGAGAAAGTAATACAGAATTTGGCAATTGTAGTCGAGGTTGTTAGATAGAAAATTTAGCAGGGAACAAAGAAGTGTTAACTCTTTAAGTTACAGTCCCCTCACGTTTTATTTTCCGTAGTGGTAGTGTTAGTGATTTTACTCATTCTATAACTTAAAAAAAGTATTTTTTCGCAATGAATCATATAAATTAAGTTTTCAACATAAAAGGGAAATTAATTTCCAAAAATTCATTAGAATTCTGCAGAGGCTTATGAGATATAACGGGAAAAGAATATAATCACATCACTTGTTGCAACTAGACGGTTTATTGCTTATTATAACTAGAACGGAAAACAATCTATTTGCTATACTAGTATAGAATTTATTGTAAAAGAAACCGTGTAAAATGTGACACACACGCTTTGGTTAATGTAACGTTTAAGTAAAATGAACAAGCGCTGTTAATCATGCCAGAAAGACATTTAGATGAAGTCATTCCATCCCATTTTCCACTGCATATTGGACATAGTCTGCGTGAAGTTGCAGGCTTTTTGCCAGTTGTCATAAGCTAGGTTAATCATGAAAGTAAAGACACATTGTCATTGTGGATATGAGTTATCGTGAAGATAGAAGTTGAAAGCTCAGTCAGTACACGTGGTTCAAACATATTTGGACCAAAGAAGATGTATTTTTTGTCAACATGGACGTTCTTTGTTTGGATGTCTCCAGAGCAGTTTTGTCAGGTCGTGCGAGTTTTTGCAAATTTACGACTTTTGATAACAAACTTGTGCTGCTAAAAGTTTAGTATTTGCGACATCCACCATTTTCTTATGCTACTTTTTTCGACTTCAAAGATTTTTTAATATATCGTAAAATGCTTTCATGTTAAAATAATGTATCAATTAAAAATAATTTATATTTAAAAAAAGTTTATTTAGGCTTAAATAGAGGTTGGCATCTGGCAATCTTCTTTACTTGTGGGCTTTCCTTTTCAAGGCTGCACAGCCTGATGCCAGTATAACGAGAAAGGGGTCAGGGAAGTGAAAATAGTGGAAAGGAAAAAAAAAAATGTTTCGTGACATCTCACCACCCTTCCTCGTCCCCCGTGCGTTTTGTTTTTAAGTCAGTTGCCTCCCTCCAGTTCTGCAGTGATAATGAATTGAACCAAAGAACTTTGTAGCCATATATTGCAGCCATAGAGCATATATTGTAGCCATAAAACTCGCCATACATTGGATACCCGAACAGATAGAAATGAAATTCATATTCCTGATTATAACATTTCTAAGAAGTAAGCAATGGAAATGACTTCAAAATCAAAGCAACGACATTCTTCTAAACAACACAAATAAATTTAACATTAAAAGAGCAAGGCTTTCTTGATTAATCAGGATCTAAAACAGATCCAGAACACACAAAATGGAAAAATCCCTGAAAAGTATTCCTCAATTAAACTGTTCACAATTAAGAAAAAAAAAAAAAAAAAACTGCCAATTCAAAAAATTCAGTACAAAAGCGCTAACAGTCTAAACATGAGGAATCTCTTAATGGATATCAGCAAATTAATTAAAAAATAAAAATCTAAATTATATGAATTAATTAAAAAAGGAAATTGATATTTATGCAGTTGAAAATGTGCAATTTAGTTTAAAAATTTTTCGTTAAAGCTAAGATACGTAATTAAAAAGATTAAGAATTGAGTGCAGCCTGTATTTTACTGAACCAATAGACAGTTACGTTGCGTCCTATCATGGGTGTGAAAAATACCCTAAAAAACACCAACACTCAGAGAAATCCACCACCACCACCACCGATTGATAAAGAAAACTTTCCATCACTACCTCGAAAGGAAACTGAAAAAAAAATCTCCAAAGACTCCTACTCACGAGTCAAAGTAGTTCCATCAAAGATGACTTACAATCATTCATTTCTTGGATTAAAAATGCCTTTCAAATGGCTAAAACCTTTTTTGAAAGATCTTGAGATAGAAGCATTTGATCTATTAATGAACACAGAATATAGGCCATAAAATTCTGCAAAAAATTTTACATATAACAAATACTATTTTATGTAGTTTAAGTATCATACATTTTAATGCAAATAACATTAAACGTCAAGAGACTGAATTGCAGCATTTTCTAAATGAACACGGGAAATCCTGTGAAAACCCACATGCAGCCAGCCCATTTGCTGGGATTCGAACCACAGACGGAACTACCCGTGTTCAACAATTTCACAGATGGTGGGTCCTTTTTCAACTGTAGTTACAAATCCCTTCTTGTATTTACAGCTAATAATAGACGAGCTCTTCTCATAAATTAATGTAGGAAAATTATATCAAATATATTTTTAAAACCTTTTCTACTCTGGATATTATATGTGAGAGTGCTGCCGCATGCAGAATTTTACATTCTGTAAAATCCTCAATGTTAGTTAAATCGTGAAGAAAAATTCTTTTGGACTTGGAAGAAATATGAAAGTTATTGGATATGTCAATATGCTGCTCACGCTTCTGTGACATAGAGGCATCAACAACTTATCTTGCTCAGATTGCAAACAGTATGCCTGGAGGTGAAATATGAATGAAGGTAACATTTCTGAATGGCTTGAGTGCAACTGCAACTTGCTCTCAATCAAAACCCACACAGATGACAAATTGTTAGTCAGTAGTGACAAACTGTTAGGGTATCAAGTGATAGTGAAGAGTAAAACGGTGGAGGTAGGGAGCAGTCTGCTGCTGAAGTCATGCATAGAGCTACACTTTACTATGTCAAGTACCTTCTGAACCACTTGGAGGGGCAAGATTGTATGCAGACCGACAACATGACACTAGTTCAGTTTTATAAGGAAAATGCCAGCTGGAACAGACTGCTCTCTTGCTGTACATGCCACTGCCACGATATACCACCAATGACTAGGAGATAAAAAATACCCTGTTTTGGGGTTTCAAATTCATAGTTGTCCAAAATTTAACAGAACTTACAAATAAGTGCACTATTATGCATGCAACTGTAGTTACTGTGTGACTGAGAACTAAAACTGAATTAATGTAAAATTACCCACAAGAAATACATATTAGATATTGCACACAAGCAACACACATATGACACATATGTCCAGGCTTGCTACAATACCTAAAAACAATAATAAAATGATCAAGGGTACAACTGGTTTCAATGCTAACTTTCTTAATGCTTAATTAAAGATGCTGCTATTGTACTCATGGATTGCTAAGTTAGTAACATAAGAAATTCTATGCAATAAAACATGCATAGCACCACTCTTGACAGAAGCAGATAAAACATTGTGAAAATCAGCATCTATATTTTTGTTGGGTTGGTGCCACATGCATGACAATTGTTTTGAAATGCAGTTAGCACAATTAGGCGACATATTATTAACTGTAAATAGTATCTTCACTGCTTACAGAACTTGACACCTTATTTTACAAATTGACTAATAAGTGAATTGCCATGTAGTGCCTCTTGTGGTCTTTAACACTTATTAGTTATAAAAAAAGAAGCTTCTCAAAATCTGAATGATAATAAGATTTTACACTTCTCAATGACTATTATAAATATAATGAAGGAAAGCTTTTCAAAGCTTTACTTTTCTCAGGTTAGTTTTTAATTTCATATTTTTCACTATATGCAGCAATTTTAAGGTAAGGCAATTTTTTTTTTCTTTCAAATTAACAATATAGTATATTATATAGATATTATAAACAGATCATTTTATCATTCTGTTACATCAACAGTTAAAAACATGAACGTTACACAAGTAAAATCATAGTTCCACATATGACGATGCACAACTTATTTTTTTAAAATAAGCTAGGTGTTTTCTATGACTAATAAAACTAATTACTATAATTTAAAGGATTTTTAAATCCTTATTTGAACATGATAAAATGTATAAGGGATACCAAACTAAGGGGAGATACCCTTGTGGAGGACTTTTCTAAGAAAATTTATGTATTTATGTTGCATGCAAATAGATTTTCAAACAGAGATTAGTTTACCAGTGATTAGTATATTATTTAGTTTACCAGTGATTAGTATATTATTAAGTGTCAATTCTCAGAGCAATATCAAGCAAAACTTTCTTGTAATTTAAATAATAAAATCAAAACACAGAAATTAAATTTTTAAACTCTTAAAAGCAGATGAATGAGTATTCTTTAAAATACTTATGCATGTGCTGTTGTACAACTCTTTTTTTTCTTTTTTTTTCGTGTGTGGGCGTTTGTGTGCTTAATTTTATGACATCACCATGCAAACATTTGCATTATTAAAAACTGACACAATGAAACAATTTAACAGAGTTGAAATTCTGCTAGATTTTTATAGAAACAATTACGTAAAACACACTTTTAATCTTTCTAAAATGTGCAATCTCTGTATGAATTTTTATTTGGAAAATGCTGAAGTTTATCTAAATGTAACATCATTTAGCAAATTTAAACACTTCAGTGAGTAACTGCAATATCAGTTTTAAAACTTTAAATCAAACATACAGAATAATTTAACAGTAATCAAAATGCATTAAATATGCAGAATACTTTATTATGAGCAAATTCTGTACACATTATTCACAACACTTGAAAAGTTACATTCAACAGGTATAGAATTTCTCAAATGAATAAGCATATGATACAAAAAGGTGTAAATATTACATAACAAATCACTAACAGACTTTTTTTTTTCACATAAATGCAAAACAAAAAATTAAAACAATGCAGCGAGATTCAACAAGTTAAAGAATTTGGCAAATGATCTCAATAATCGAGATCTTCCCATTTAATTAACTACAAGTCTACAACAATGTTTATAAACAGGACATTAATATTCAATCGAGTTTAAACTTTTGCAAAATGCTTATCGAAAATATAAAGGCTAATCTTGTGCAGTTTCAACATTAAGCTTTAAAAATATTGCTTCCTCAAGTATAAAAAATTTTAGAAAATGTTTAGAAATCCCTTCATTTTGCAATTTTACACAGTTATGCAAAAATCACAGAATAAATTCATCTTCTCTAACCAGTACACAAATTTCTGAGCAATACATTATAATACAATTGACAAAAATAATAAATACATAAATAAAAATATGGAATTTTTTGCAAAAACATAAGAATGTTATTTTAGAGCCAGATTATTTTAACAATAAAAAATTCCATGTAAACAACATTTAGCTTCGAAATACACAGCAGGTAGAAATTCACAATAATTTACTAAAATTAAATTCATTTCATAACTTGATTTTTATCAAAGCATACATGTACTGTGATTTTTCCTAAAGTTACCTAAATATTTTGTATTAATAAAAACTATAAATATTCTCATAAAAAATATTAAAAAGAGGGGTTAAAAGTTAATATCCAGAAGAAATATGTCTAACAATTTTTTTCGGATTTAAAATTCTTCTTCAGAATGGGGGTGCAAAAGAAAAGATTAGGACACGATAATACTGTAATTTGATAACATTATTCTTGCATAGAGAAATCATTTCTATCAATATAGGAAAAAACCTCAAGATGCAAATAAGAATCATCTTTGTTAACCTGGCTCATAATCTTTAAAAGTTCTTTGCTAAAAAATGGAGTTTTGTTTAATAGACAAGACTAATACTTGTCATAAGGCAACAACCTAATCTGTTACAATGAGAGCAATTCATCCATTTGGTCATCCAAAAAACAATCTTTGCCATTAACCTTTCTTTGATTATGCATGAATTGCTGAAGATCCTGAAGGTCCTCTGCTTTCAAGCCTATATCAAACATTGGATGAGTTCGAGAATGAGCCAACCTAAAAAAAGTAATATGGTTTTATTAGTCAAAGATAAAATTAATCACAGTATATTTTTAAACCTAAAATTACAACTTTAAGGTCATTCAAATGAAAGTGGCACTACAGTCGGTTTGAGAAATGGTTTAACGATATCAATATCAATTAGTATACAAAAGAAAGAAGTAATACAGATGTAACACACAATCTAAACAAAGTTATCTTGTAGGTTGGAACAAGTGTCCCAGCGGTCAACAAGACGATGGATATCCAGGGTGAAGAAGCTTCAATGTTGGTTGTGGAACCAATTTCCAACGGCAGCTTGGACCTCATTATCGTCGACAAATCACCATGCCTTCAGAGGTTTCTTGAGCGGACCAAAGATGTGGTAGTCATACGGCGAGAAGTCAGGGCTGTAAGGGGATGCTCAAGAAACTCCCAACAGAATTGCTGAAACAATGTTTGGCACGCCACAGCACACATGAGGATCAGCATTATCATTCAAGAGGATAACTCCCCGTGACAGCATGACAAGTCAGCGGTTCTTGATAGTCTGTCTCAGTTTCTGCAATATGGCACAGTACATGGCAGTAGTGACATTCATGCCCATAGGTAGCCATTCCAACAGTAGTTGGCCATCGACGTCAAAGAAGCATGTTAACATGACTTTACCAGCTCTTGTGGATGTGCAAGACTTCTTCGGGCATGGGGATGAAGAGCATCGCCATTCCAGCTCATGCTTTTGGTCGCTAGATCAACGTGATGCCACCATGTTTCATCAGCTGCAATGATCATTGAAAGGAATTGGTTTCCCATTTCGTGGTACCACATAAGGTGTTGCCAGGAAACAGATCATGCGATGAACTTCTGCTCCTCTGTCAAATGTTTTGACACCACTTGCGAAGAAACCTTTCGGTATTGCAATTTCAGAACTTCACTGCAGCCTTTCCACACAGAACTGTGCACACTTCCTATATTCATAGACATTTCCTCCAGTATTTCTTGAGTGATTCGCTGACTCATTTTCACGAAACAGTCCACATCTGCAACTGCTTCCTGGGTGACCACCACATGCACTTGACCAGGTCATGGCCTGTTGTCAGTACTGCTTCTTCCACTACGAAAATCTCTACATCATCAGAATACAGATCTGTGTTTCATACACTCCATGCCATACACATTTTGCATTCGATGATAGATTTCAGAAGCACTCACATTTTCAGCTGTTAAAAATTGAATGACTGCACATTAACACTGTTTGGAGGCACCCATGATATGAACAATGCCTTTTAACATGCTCCGACACCATCATATACGGAACTGGCAAGATCTGACAATATCACATACACTCCCAGCATTCTGCGCCCTCTATAAGGGCATGCACAGCCACCTTTCTCTTCAAATGACAGCAATGCCCCTTTCATTTCAACGACACTTATACAAGTGTTTTTTACAAAGCAAAAAATTATGGATGAATTACAACTGTGAAATCTCTTTACAGAAAATTTGGATATAATTTTCCTTTTCCTGTTTAAAATACCTGAAATAAGTGAAGAAATGCACATATGTTGATGAATTTAAACTATACAACAGCAACTATTTGAAATTTAAATGCAAAGATTTATTATTTAGTTCAAAATGAGAAGCCAAAACTAATATAAAAAATATTCCACTGAGTGTTTTTAATGCACAAGACCAGAAAATTAAATTCACTATTTTATGTCATCTATTTAATGTTTATTTTTTAGAAAAAATCCAAGATATTGAAAAGACCATATGCATAAAAATAACACTGTATGATTAATAAAACTAGCCAGTTATGTAAGGACAAAGACCACAATCATTTCTCCTTATTTTATTTTTCAAATTGATATAATTTACATAGCCATAAGGTTTTTCTGCCGCAGATTCTTCAAAATGTAAGCTCTTTTAACTCCCACATGGCATTAGACTGTTTACTAGTAACATTTTAAAATACGGACAGGGATTTTATATGGACATTTTAAAATACGAACAGGGCGTAGCATTTACGCATGCGCATAATACGTTTACACATGCACGTTTAATGTATAACAGACGGTATAAGTTAGGCTAAAATTATCTAATTATCTATTTCAGTTAATGTTGCAGACTGCGTTGTTCCTTAATCTTCGAATTGGATCAGGCTTATTATTTTTTGCAGACAATTAGAGCAATTTTAAAAAAAGTAAGCTTGAACTTTCAATTATGTCAAAAAGAGTTTCCGATTCTGGAGCTGTCAAAGGACAAAGCGAAAGCTGTTTCGATGTCCATCAAACAAAAAAGTGGAATGCTGCAAAAAATGGATAAAGGCCATGAAGAAAGTTGACAGAGAGGTTATTGAAAATGAAAAAATTTTGATTTACAAGTCAGTCGGTATTTTCGGCACAGCAATTACAGAACTTGAAAAGCAGAACTTTGTAACTAAACAAGAAAATGTCTGTTATAGAATAAAGAGAACGTATTAGCAAAAAAAGGACTAACATTAAAAGAAATGTTTAATAAAGTAAACAAATATTAAGCTTTTTTTTTTTTTTTTTTTTGTTTTTAGTGTGTGTGTGTGTGTGTGTGTAAATTTTGATACCCTTTAGGTCATAATTGCTCTTTATTTCATAAATTACGGTTTCAAATTTTTAATTGTATAATTTTTGCATGCCCTCTTACCAGATTTAAATTTACCTATAATCCGGAAAAAACCCTAAATCTGGAAAAACCCTAATCCGGAATCGCCAAAGTCCCAATGAGTCCAGATTAAAAGACTTTGTACTGTATTTCAAATAAGTTCTTGAAACGTTTTCCCATTAATATCATTACAAAGATATTTCTAAACTCGCCAATGGAATGCACTGCATTTTTAATTGGGATTAATTCTTCATTTTAACTTCTTTATTCCTGCTATTTAAATGTTCATTAGGAAATCTGATGACATTAAACTGACATTACAGTTTATATAATTCTATCCATCTCTAACAGATTACATTCCTTTTCATCTGTAATCAGAATTTCCTCAATACTTTTGCAATCAATGATTCTGCCAAATTCTCAGTTTGAATAAAATCTTATTTTGATGAAATAATTTTTTGTTTCTAATTTTACTTATGACCAAATCACAGAGATAACAGTCATCACCTCAAGCAAGTTCTCTTTCTCTTGGAATCTCCTGCAGTAATAATTTCTAATGGGCATTTTGAATTATTCTCTTCTTCTAGAGATTTTCCATTTTCCAAAAATGTCAGCATTAATTTGTATTTTTTTATTTCACACCATAATGACAAGGTTTACATCACTTATGAAACATATAATTTCTACAACTCTACTGCAACTAAAAGAATCATATTTTCTATTCCTTACTATTTGCATAAAGTAAAATATTAATGTGATCTTTACATTTTTGACTGATCTCGTTTAAAGGGAAATACTTTTGCAAGCATAATGGGGGGGGAGAGGACTAATTTCACAAACATTAAAAATACTTAATACTTTGCAATTGATGTTCATTTTATTTCTGCATACATTCTTGAACTATTCTTACTATATCCAGCTGACTCAACTTTGATTTCTCTATTTATGATACGAGATTCAGGGGCAGAATTAAATTTATGTTGCCATTTAATGGGGCAGAGGCAACTGAGCTTCTTTCACATGCATCAACAACATATACTAAATATCGGAAAATATTTTTTTTCGGGACGGGGGCTATGGACAAGCAGCATTTTTTGCAGTGACATTTCCAACACTGATGACCTTTCTTTTGTCAAAAACAGTCATCTTCAATTTGACATGGCAATACCCAATTTTCCCACAATTCTATTTTTGTGCATCCCACCCTTAAAATTTTAGTGCTACCTTCCATTAACCCTTTCAAAACAGTAAACCTTTATTTAATGGGTTCCCTGGGGATAGATAGGAGTTGAAAGGAATTGTCCCAGAGGACAGGGGTTTTGCATTGCTAAGCAAAACACTTTAACACTTTAGAAAACAAACAAAAAAAAAAAAAAAAAAAAAAAAGTTAGTCTTAACATCATAATGTTTGATTATTACTTAATATACATTAAAAGTAGCAAGCTATCATATACATTAAAATTATCATTTAAGAATCTTTTTCCTTTACTATACATTAAAATATATTAAAAATTGCTCGCTTTGAGAAACAGTTTTTGAAAGCACTCTTCAAATTATTTTGAAGTTTTAATTTACAAAATACATAAGTTAACTTTAAAATATAAGAAACACCATTTACAAGAAGATGTAACAAAAACCTTTCACGGGAAATGGCAGGCAGGAACTCATTAAGCTGTTTCTGACAAAATGTCCATATCAAAATCACTAGAAATATCACTCTCTAATTCTTTAGAAAATGAACCATCACTCTCATCCATGTTTCTAACAGGCTCATTTCACATGTGAGTACACTCTTCGTAGGACAAATAATGCTGGCTCATCATAATAAACTGAAGCAAGGATTCTCAACTGGTGATATACAAGAGAAAACTAGGAGGTATGCAAAGAAACTGTTTTTAACTATTAAATTCAAAAATTAAGTACCCCAACATCCTATTTAAGTTTTTTTTTCCCCCTAACATTCGTAAGCTTATGTGATGTGTGCTTTGTTCAAGCTCAATACCACTCATAGACTTTAGAAAAATAATCTATTTTTATTTTCACAAATATTCTTTTAGCCATAGACACAATAAAATTTGTCATAAGTGATGTTTTTAAAAGGAGTAATAGAAATGAATGTTGTTTGTAAAATGTAGTGAGTGGTACTTTTCAATTTTTGTTTAGATAGTATGTGTTAGTCAAAACCTTGAAAACAGCAGAACTGAAGTCAAGGCTTTCCGAAATAAAAAGAGAAGTACATGAAATATAAATGATAAAAGCAACACAAAGCTTAACACAACTCCACACAGTAACCCTAAAAGACCCTACATAGTAAAAAAAAAAAAAAAAAAAAAAAAAAGCTTCAAAGGGATATCAGAAATGTGAATGTTTATATCAAGTGGCGAGTTAAAAAAGTCAAGCTTATGCTTCCCTCCTTCTCTGCAACACCTGACACCAAAGTCAGGCAGAATGAGATCAAACTGAAAGTCACGATTCTAAAACTATGTTCAGTTCAAAAGTAATGGAAACAGAATGTAATCTAAAGGTCTTTAAAAATTATTCAGATTAAAATGCACATATCTATCACATGTTCATCCTTCAGTGATCCATGGGTAGGATGCCAGCTGCGAGAGATTTCACAGGGAATGCATATATGGGACACCTGTCTGAAAAGGGTTAAGAGAGCACTTCATTTTCTAGACGTTAGCTAGAAGTTAAAGAACATTTATTTATATTGGTGCAAGAGATAAGTAGCAACTGTTTTAAAACTCGTTTATCAAATGACAAAGGATTGAAGCACCTCCTTTTGTTATATCTGACTGATCAACAAACCCCATGGCCTATTTTGAATACCTACACCAGTCTGAAATACCATATTTACCCTTAGACTTCTCCCCCTCCCCAAATTTTCAAGCACAAGGTATTGAATTTTTTTTTAAAGTATTCGCATAATTTCCCCCTTCTTTAAAATGTTCAGAAAGGGAGCTAAATTTTAAAATGGGTTTGTGCACAAAGCGACTGTTATCGTCTTACTAATTCATTTGCTCATGCACTTTGCATGTCCTATGACTGAGGAAGCGATGATAATAATGAAGAGCTTCAAGAAAGTGAAACTATCTAATGTTTTTGATGCTTCTGAAGATCATTGCATGTAAAAAGATAGATTAAATGGTGATGATGGTAATGGCTTGCAAGCTGCAGACAATAGCTGATGACACAGACAGAGGCATTAAATTAGGAGTGGACAACAATAAGAGCAGAGAGATTTAAGATACAGAGATGTAAAAGAAATGCAGATATCATATTTCCCCCTTTTGAACTAATTATATCACCTGAAAATCAAGGGAGGAAATTATGTGAGTAATTTAATTTCCAAAGAACATGGTTACAGTAAGACTAGAATGAATGAAAAGTGATCATAGCTAAATTATTGGTAATTATCACATTATTTCGGGACATTGAAGGAAAGGAGAAGGGGAAGAACGAAGACCTGAATTTCAAAAGATTTAACACATCAGCAATAGGTAAGGGGACAGTGAGCTGGAATGTAAATAAGAGAAGTAAGGTGAAATTGCACATTTTGAAAGTTTAAGTGTGGAAACATCTGCCATGTCTGGGTAGTATAACAAAAAATTTATACAAAATACATTTCAAATAATAAATGTATGGGAAAACAAAATGAATGAAATGGTAATTAAAAATTCAAACATAAATTGAAGTTACTGATTAAAAATAATCAAGGGAATACAATTCACCAATAAACTAGAAAGAAGAACTTTGGACAATAGAGGAAGGGTAAAATTAAAAATATTAAAAAAATTTTCAGAACCTAAGGCTAAGAGGGGAAAAACACGGTACTATGTATTCTGATTGGAAAGGTTTCTTTTACCATTAATTTAAATGGGAATGAATCGAAATAGAGATGAAATGATGTTTAAATGTAAAGGACATATAAATGAAAAACTTATTAACAATGCTTCAGTATATTTCCATAAAACAGCACTTGAATTAAACACACAACAAATTTCTGTAATAAAATAGGCAATAAAATTATTGTCTCTTTTTTAACACTAAGCATGACACTAAGCATACAAAATTATTTTTATTGCATGTGGATAGATTATCACTTCAATTAAACTGCAGCTACCTCACAAAAATCAATCAAAAATAGATTTTCCATGCAAGTTTAGAAAATTAAAAATTTTTCAAACGTTATTATGTAACCTACATGTCATACATATTTATAGCTTTTTTTAAATAATATGCACTGAATTGTATTATCACTGAGTTATTTATTTACAAAAATGAGAAACTAAAAATATATAAACAAATTAACAAGCTTACTTTTACTTGAGCTAGACAGAAATGCAATTTGGAATTCTATTGTATATATATTTAAAATGACAAAGACATCTTGATATGAAACCCTTTTGTGCATAAGCATTACTGTTTTTATCCTATTCCAGAGGTAAATGTGTGGTACAAAATGATTCACTATGAAATAGACCAACTAAAGTGACTGAAATCTTAATATAAGAGTAATATAATACTGATGAATATTTGTACATTTAGAGCAATCTAACCAAGCAGATAGCTTAAAATTTTCACTTGAATGGCTTTATGGAGGATTTTCTAAGGGAAATTGGCTCGTAGATACGTCACACATGGAGAAAACCATGAAAACGCCCATGCAGCCAGCCCGTGTGCGGGATTCGAACCTCGGACCGAACTACCAGTGCTCAGCGATTTTACCATTTGGCCACTGGTGAGCCTCAATTGTTATAGAACTTCTGAAACTACATATGGTATTAGTAAACAGAAAACGATTCATTTTTTAAGGACCCATTTTGTTTTTTCTAACAATATACTTTGATAACACAAACGTAAGATTTTAGAATGGCTTTTACAACCAAGCTAACTCAAGAAAGTATATTTTTGAAAACAAACTCAAATATTTAATTGTAGGAATTTAATTTAAATAACTCTGAGAAAAGGAATACGGTACCTGGAAAAACTGTCATCCAGATTTTGGTCATTTTCAAAACCCTACAATACAAAGGTGAAAAATTAAACAGTAAACTAATATAGACAGATAAACATTTTTCTTTGGAATGAGGTATGGAAACTTCACAAAACAGGTAAAAGGTATGTACTGTAATATTATATTAACTCTGAGTGCCATGACCAGCTTTATCCAGTCATGAGGGTTTTTGGTCACTTGGTATATACTAGCTTGTAATTTCAGATATTTTGCTTTCTTACTTTCTTTAATAATAAAAATGTCATTTTAATGAATGCAAGTTTATGAAAATAGAGACTAAAATAAGTAAATATACAAATTTATTTAACAAAGGCTGTTTAAATACAGGTCTTCATAACAGATCCAAAAACAAGTGCCGCTCAGAAGGTTAAGTTATCAGCAAAAGTGCATATGACAATACTGTTAAAACTTATGTAGTAATAATAATAATAATAATAATAACAATAATAACAAAAAGAAAGCCTCTTGTAATATAAAATGATAGAAAAGCTAAAATGAGGTCAGAGGTCTTTAAAGTAGTCAAAAGTACATTGAAAACTACTAATCTAATAAGCGAATTAAAAAAAATTATTTTAAAATTAATTCAATGCTATTATATGTAATTATATTATTACAAAAACCTGATGTGTAAACCACATGACTTCCTTGTACGGAATATTAAATTATATGCATTTTTTCTTGCATTTCATTTAAACATATTAAATTGAATTAAACCTACTTCACCGACAGCATAACCACAATAGAATAAATGCATTCTTTAAAATTCACTTGTTTACATAGCGACACTCTGACGCTAGGTTTACTTAACAGTATTATGTTTCGTTCATATTATAACTCAGAATGCCCAAAATTTATATCATTTAAAGAATTATCTAATCGTTACCACATGTTCTATTCAAATACAGTCAAAAGTCGTTAATTCGGAACCCATAATCCGGACCTCAAAGCTAAAAACTTTCTGTGCACGTGCCGCATTGACACATGCACATAGCCGTTTACGCATGCGCGTAAGACCTTTACGACTGCGCATATGCGTGTGCGCAAGCGCAGAATAAGTTTTCGCATGCGCGTTTTATGTATAACGGACGGCATTTAGCTAATTATCTATTTCAGTTAATGTTGATGATTGCGTTCTTCCTTAATCTTCAAATTGGATCCGGCTTATTATTTTTTGCAGACTGTAAGAGCAATCTTATAAAAGTAAACTTAAACTTTCGATTATGTCAAATAGAATTTCCGATGCTGGAGCTCCCAAAGGATCTACAAAACGAAAATATGTTTCGATGTCCATCAAACAAAAAGTGGAATTGCTGCAAAAAATGGATAAAGACATGAAGAAGGTGACAGAGAGGTTAGTGAAAACGAAAAAATTAATATTGACAAGTTAGTCGGTATTCTCGAGACAGCAATTACGGGACTTGAATAGCGAACTTTGTAACTGAACAAGAAATTATGTCTGTTTATAGAATTAAAGAGAAAGTATCATCACATAAAACAAAGCAACTTAAATAACTTACATTGAAAGAAATGTTTAATAAAGTAAACAAATAAATATTAAGCTTTTTTTTTTTTGTAAATTTTGATACCCTTTAGATCATAATTGTTCTTTATTTCATAAATTAAAGTTTCATATTTTTAATTTTAGAATTTCTGCATGCCATCTTACGAGATTTAAACTGATGATCTATAATCCGGAAAAATCGATAATCTGGAATCGCCGAAGTCCCGACGAGTTCGGATTAACGACTTTTGACTGTACTATAATAAAGCTAGAACTATGTATAAAAGAAATTAAGCAAACAAAACAAAAAACAGTTTTTCACAGACTATTGAGTATTTCTCATTCAATTAATTCAGTTTTCACTTCGCGACAAGGCAAAAATACATAAAAACTCAAAATATCTGTATTAAAAATTACGAAAGTAAATCTTAAATGCTCATTCCTCGAAAAAAAATTCCAGAAAGGATTAAGCATGATTTAAATAATAAATGAAGGCGTTATCTTTGTTGTTGTGAAGCTAAGTTTTCTTAGATTGGCAACAAATCCGCTACTCATGTTTCAAATGTAAACATAAGCATGGCCGCCATCAAATTAGGCTTAGTGGCACTTAAGCAATTTAAAATTGTTGATAATTCTAAAAATATTGCATACAGATTTTACTAAAGGCAAAAAAATCCTTAACCGGAAGATAAAAACATAATTCAATCATTTTTAAAGCAAAAAATGTACAATTTACAAACATATAAGAGTAAAGAAACAGATCACTGAGCCGGGCAACAGAGTGGATATATTTATAAATATATTTATATACGTTTGGCGCGGCCGATTGAAACCAAAATACGAGGTGCACAAATTTCAACGTTCCGAGGCTACTTGTTTTTGAGCTATGCGAGATACGTACGCACGAACGTACATGCGTTCGTACAGATGCCACGAAAAATTCTCTTCAGAATTAAAGCAGTTTTTTAGTTTTTTTGGAGGAAAAGAGTCTTTTATTCTGTCCTTAAGTACAAATATCACGCAAAAACATCGTTAAATTGCATTCGAAAGCGGTTGAAGTGGATATTTTCGTTGAAATATGCTGCCTGAAGCTTTTCGCGATTACGATACTTCCTTTTTACTTCGTACAAGGAAGTAAAAAAGGAAAAACTATCAATTTTATTTTATGCTTGTTACAGAAATGAAATCAACTACGAAGGTATAAAATTGAAACCTCCTCTATAGTTTTATTCACACTCATTACATTAATACAGTTATCAATTTTACCAACTTCATAGAAGTTTTATTATAATGCATCTCATTAGGTACAAATAAAAACACTGTAAAATAAATGACTTAAAAATCACATAAATGAAATCATCCTATCATAATTACATACTATTGAAGCAGAAGGGATTCGTTAAAAAATTAAACTCTTGAAGGAGACTACAGGCAAAAATGTTTAGAAGCCTTTGATTTTTGATGTATTAAAATTAACTTTTTAGACACCAAATTATTTTGAAGATTTCAAATAAAATAAGCCAAGTTTGGAAATAAAATGCTATTACTTAATAGTTAGAATATCTTAAATCAGATTTATAACTTTTTTTTTTTTTTTTTTTATGTATTGAATAACCTTAACTAATTTATAAATTCTATACAATATTTTAAGGAACCTATAACTCTGAATGAGACACTGTTTTTAAAGTGTCTTATAAAAAAATTATAATAGCAGAAGAACAAAACCTAATGCTTTTTACAAAAAATACCTCAAGCTGAAACAGAACTCGCAAAAGGTATACTCAAGGACATAACAATAAAACAAAACCATATGTTAATCAACTAAAGCAGTCAGAAATATGCAAATTAATTATTATTAAGACTAAAAATTACAATTAGTATTACAACAGAAGTAAAGAAAGATACTAAAAGCATAATTTTTACAATACATATACAAATAATCTTACTAAAATATCATTTTACAAGAACTAAATACAAATATATTTGCTCATTCTTTTAAAGCAATGAGAAGTCTCATTAGTCTCATTACAAAGTTTTGCTTTTATTTTATAAAAATATACACTGTTCATCAAAATTAAAGGACAATAACAGAAATAAAACGTAACTGGTACTTAATCAAAAATTATTAAGAGAAATTTGTACAAAAGCATTAGTTAACAAATTACGATGTTTCACAGTTAATTATTTGCAAAATATTGAAATTAAAACCAAATTTATGAAAATTGGAAAATGATGGAAAAATTGTCACCTCTTGCGGAAAATTGTTTTCTTTTATATGGTGTATGGTTACTTTCGATAGATATGCATGTCTCACACCTTGATTTCATAGACTTAAAGTGTTGATCAAGTCTTGTGGAATTCTATGTCACTCTTCCAAAAGTACACTTTTCAGCTCATCAAGGGCCCAGCGAGGAATTTGGCGTGCTGGAATTTGGTGTCCTAAGGCATCCCACACATACTCAATCGAGTTCAAATCGGTTGAGTAAGGTGGCCAATCCATTCGAAAGATACCTTCTGTTTGCAAGTAATCTGACACCACATATGCTTGATGAAGCCGAGCATTAGCTAAAACTCTGGGCCAACAGCACTAGCAGTCTAACTTGGGGTTCCGATACCTCATCCACATATCTCTGAACAGTCACATAACCTCCTTTAAAGATATGCAGCTCAGTCTGGCCGTCTATCACGATTCCTCCCTAAACCATTAAACCGCTGTCGTGGAAATGGGATATTTCATGAAGAAGGGAAGGCAAGTTGTTTGTTTTTTCCTTTCTCCAGATCAAAACACATCTACACTAGTCACTAAAAAATACTCGGGCCCACTCAGCTGGGCTCCAGTGAATATGATAACAGCACCACTGGAAGCAAAAGTGAGTAAGACATAAACCCCTGGTTTTTCTTGCATACAGTCCAACCTTGTTAAGTCATCACGTAGCAGTAGAATGGCTAATTCGAGTTCCTATGGCAGCCTGAAGATCTAAAATCAAACCTCCTGTAATCGCTTCGTGGTTTCTTTGAGCCGACAATGACAGAAAATGGTTATTTGTTGGTTGTCTTTTGACCAGGCTGTGCATCAACTGATCTAGTGCTTAAAAAGTAGATAACTCTTGATAAGACACTCTGAGGGATATTCAAATCTTGGATAACCTCCATTTCTGTTTAACCTCCCTTGGTTCTACCAATTATTCACCTCTTTTGACCTTCACTTAAATGATGCCTTTGAGCCATAACTACTGAATACAGATCACTCTCAACCACATTCGCTTTAAATAACATCACAGATCAGAATTCCAACATGTGTCCATTGTGCCAATGACCGACTTTGCATATTTCTGGCACTAACACATGTGCGGAACTGCAATTTTGTGTTCAGTTGTATTCAATTCACATACATAATTACAGTTATGGGCAATGGTTGCAACATAGCATATTTTTTCTCATTATTCTTTAATTTTAATGACCGGCATTGTTGTGTGTTTGTGACAATGTGTGTTTGATCGGCATTGTTTATCATCCACCATGTACTGTTGTGTGAAATGCTTCAGGTTAACATCCAGCAACTTCTTTGAGTTTGGAGAAAATAATATATCTGCTGTAAAAAATGAATACTTCAATGTAATTCTGTAGCATTTCATAATTCAGTATGAAGAGGATATAAGATTCTTTAGTGTTACACATGTTCAGCTCTGTGACGACATGTGATAAAGTACGATCAAAGTGTGAACGGCAATTTTGGTGCAACTCTGGTAAACATATATATGTAATCTAGAAATTAGTAAAATTAATCTAGTAGCTACCAATAAATAAAATTATCAAAATGTGTAAAAAATGCTTATTGTGTGTTCATAGATGACATTAAGAGGCACTGTACAGGTAAATGAAACTGTTTTTATAATATTGAATATTAAGTTATGTGGGGGATAATTTTGATATTTTTTTAACAATTGGGTTACTTGCATTTACACAAAGCGTTAAACACTTATGTCTAGTTGAAGTTCATTTGCTTATTGGATACACTCAATAATCTTAAGTAATTAATCTTGGAGATTTTACAGTACATACAAAGTAGAAACTTTTCCCATATCATTTGGCCCATCTCCACAACAACTAGATGCATCGATGAAATACACAAAGGTACCCAAACAAATGTTTCTCTCTAAAGTCGCAAACAGTTTTGGGATTTCTAGACAGGAGTGCGGATGATCAGGAAGTACTTTAAAAATTGGCAAGAATGAATAATTTTAATATTTACAGACTACAAGTTCAGTTATAAACTACCATAAATTACTTATATGCACAGAAAGAAAAACATTTTTATATTTTAATACTTACTAGTTTTTTCATAGTTTCAGATGCAGAATGACTATCCATGCTTAAATCAATCAACATTGCTGTTTCATTGGTACATGACGTCCGACTATTGCTATTATAACCAGGTATGGTAACATCATTGACCATTTCAGTGCTTTTTCTTTCCTGAAGGGAGGAATACAATGATTAAATATCTAAATTTACAAATAAAGTAAGCACAAATGGTTAACTAATAACAGGCAAGAATTTCCCATTGTAATTATACTTTCACTGTTGCTGCAAATATATATATGATTACAAAATGTCCTTACAATATACAGTACTGGTCTGTTATTGGGATCCCACTCAGACGAAAGCTGAAATTCTAAAAGCTGATGATCTGGGAAAAAATTCAAAGCATAAAAATAATAGCCAAAAATATTTACGATATTGTTAAGTTGAAAGGAGGGAATAATGTACTTTAGGTAGGGAGAGAAAAAATAAAGTATTAATAGATCTTCATAAAATTATAAATTTTCAATGTTAATTAAACCACTTGGGAACTTGGGAAAGAAATAAAAAAAAAAGGGGGTACTTTTCCATTTTGCTGGCGCAAATCTCGCCAAGCAGACTTTATTGGTGATAACACATAGTATACACACACCAAAAAATGACCATCCATGCTTAAATCAATCAACACTGCTGTTTCATTGGTACATGACGTCTGACTATTGCTATTATAACCAGGTATGGTAACATCATTGACCATTTCAGTGCTTTTTCTTTCCCGAAGGGAGGAATACAATGATTAAATATCCAAATTTAGAAATAAAGTAAGCACAAATGCTTAATTCATAACAGGCAAGAATTTCCCATTGTAATTATACTTTCACTGCTGCTGCAAATATATTTGATTACAAAATGTGCTTACAATATACAGTACTGGTCTGTTATTGGGACCCCACTCAGACAAAAGCTGAAATTCTAAAAGCTGATGATCTGGGAAAAAATTCGAAGCATAAAAATAATAGCCAAAAATATTTACGATATGGTTAAGTTGAAAGGGGGGAATAATGTATTTTAGGCAGGGAGAGAAAAAAAGTATTAATATATCTTTATAAAATTATAAATTTTCAATGTTAATTAAACAACTTGGGAAAGAAATTAAAAAAAAAAAAAAAAAAAGGTACTTTTCTGTTTTGCTCGCGCAAAGCTTGCCAAGCAGACTTTATTGGCGACAACACATAGTATACACACACCAAAAAAGACAATAAATGAAAACAATAAATTTGTAAAAAGACATTAAGAATTTACTATGCTTTCATGGTACAACATCCTGATTCGCTGTTTCATATCACGTGACTCTATAAGTGATCTCATCTCATGTAAACTATGCTACAGAAATCTAATTCTCTCAGTAATTATCTACATTAATTTCAAGTTAAATCTTAATTTGGAAGACAAGTTTAAGTGAAAAAATTATTTTAATTCGTACGAATAAGTTACTGAGAAATTACATAAAACCGTAATGCTTTACTTTGCTAGTGCGTTCTCATTAGAATTGAATTCAACACTTGATTTTGCCTTTTCTCTAATTTCAGGTGAGCGCTGTGATTTCACCCTAATTGACTTAATTACCGCAAATGGCCTTAGACATAAAATTGAACTATCTGGTAAAAATTGTATGTAATTTTATGCCAGTGTTGAAAGAAAGAATCAATCTGATAAGAAATTGCTCGACTTGTTTTGAAAATCAGGCGTAAAAAGTTACTAGCTAAGATATTCCATTTAGCATTGGTTGTACCATTTTTGGCAACTTTATCACTAGCATCAACAAAATGGAAAAGTAAAAAAAAAAAAAAAAAAAAAAAAAAAAAAGGGGGGGGTAGCGAATTAAGCTTAATGCGGAGATATGAAGGTGCAGATATAATTTAAAGTGTCCGAAAAAATTTGCGTTTGAGAATGCTGTAGCCCCACATAAACTCAAGCAGTGATGTTTATATTCAATATATCACACCGCCCCATAACCTTTCAACAGTTTGCATATGACAGCAAACACTGGAATCGATAACATTATATTTATGGCCAATGCAGAAATGTTCAATTCCGGCCTCTTAATTCTTCATCGATATACCTTTTCCAACATCTAAACATATTTATAGTGCCATCAATAATATTTCCTTCAGTAACTTTAATCAAAATTCTGGCAGAGTACTTATGCACAGCAACAACAAATCTTTTTTCCTCGAGAAATCCTGCCATACATCCACTGGGATGGGAGAGTAAAACCAAGATAGTTTTTTGATGCAAAAATAGATTTTCATCAACTTTGGCAATAGTACCGCCTATTTTAACTGACAGTTTAGACATTAACAAATGGGCACAGATATACATTATAGCATAACTGTTCCTATCAACAAAAGTGCAATGATTCATATCAAGTTAATATTGACAAAATTCTATGGAAATGAGTTCTAAACACCATGCATTAATGAAACGAATACCCGTTAAGAAACTACTTCTCGATGCTTCAAACCAATTTTGAAAATGCAATCCTTTTTTTTTTTTTTTTTTTTTTATGTCATCATCTCCATTTTGGTGCTTCTTTTGAATTTAAGCAGAGCTTTATGTTATGTTTTTTTGTACACCTTCTTTCTGAGTAAAAAATTCTTTGTTCTTGAAGAAATTGTATGGAAGATGTTTCATAATTAGCCTCAAATTTTCATATCCATGGTAAGCACAATAATAACAACATAAGCGACCGTTACATCTTTAGAATTTGTATTCTCATTGCCAATTTTGAAAAAGCATTCTTTTACTGTTTTTTTAAAAAGTAAACAATGTAATGATTTTAAGAATAAACAGTAGCAATGAGTGCAGTCCTGATAACACATGCTTACCAAAATCATCCTTAACTAAATTGTGCATATATAACTGCTCTTCTTCCAGTATATACCTTGATTAGTATTATTAGTACATTATTCTGATATGAACATATATTTCATTTCATACAAACTTCACGGAACAGGTCTTGCTTAAATGTCTTTATTAATATACATTACCTGCCACTTAAAATCACTTCTATTTCAAAAGCATTTAAGTTTGTTAAGTGGCTGAGAACAGACAGCAATTTGTATATTAAAACCATATCAGTTTAAAATTTTTCAAATAAAATAATAACTAATTTATTACTTAATCCAAAAACTAAATTATTAGTAATTAAAAATTATTACCAAAATTAAAATATTTACAAAATTTTTAAATTTTTTATAAAATATTTTTATAATTATTTTTTTATGAAATTTTATCTCTTGCAAACAATTTTTCTATTTGTGTTTCATATTGTTTAACAAGAGTTTTCAATTGTATTCTCGATTTTGTAAAACTACCGAGAGATTTTTTTGCTAAGCATTTTTCTTCAAATTTACGGTTGCTTTTCTAGATTTGATTGATAATAAACGTGTCACTTTCGCTGACAATTTCTGTAATTCTTTTAATGCTTTTGTAGTCAGTTTTTATGTCTCAATTACCTCAACATTCTTTTGAATTGAAACATATTCTAAAAATGAATGCAACTTCCTTCACTGATGTGTTAAACATTAACTGAAGTTTGCAATTCTTCCAAGTCTTCTACATAAGAGCCATATTTTCGAAAGAAAGCAATTTTTAATTGATTTTAAGGGATTTATAATTGCAGACTCTAATATGCATGGTCAATTGCAATGACTATAATACGCATGGTCTTTAGCAGAGATATCGACTTTACTTATTATCTTTGAACAGTTTGTATTTTTTACCTAATTAAATTCTACTCACCATTTACTGGATATTGTTCTATAAAACACATTTGAAAGTTTCCACAATACTCTAAAATTAAAGGCTGAATGCTAGAAATTGTATTTGCAGGAAAAGACACTAATCCTTTTCAGAAAGATATCAGAGATATATGTGCTGCATGGTTATCTAATTCAGTAGAGCTATTTTTCATTTTCGTTTTCGTTTTGCTGTCCCATTTTAAACGAAAATCTATAAAAATACTATTTGCTATCCATGAGTTCTTGGTGCTATTGCAAGTTAAAAGTAAATACTTAACTGCTTTTGAGCACTAGGGTTTTTTGCTTTTGTGAATAACCAGTGCTACCTTCTTAATAGTTGGCTGCACAAGAATAAAAATACAGTAGCTTACTCCCATCAGTTTCTCAAACCAACCTTTTAAATTTTAATGTGCATTATAGTAATTTTTTGTAAGGCAGTCAGTCCAGAATGTCTTGTACAGTCAAAAGTCTTTAATCTGGACATGCATAATCCGGACCTCAAAGCTACAAACTTTCTGCGCATGCGTAAGCGCATTATGCGTTTACGCATGTGCATAATACGTTTACGCATGCACATTTAATGTATAACGGATGGTATAAGCTAAGCTAAAATGATCTAATTTATCTATTTCAGTTAATGTTGCAGATTGCGTTGTTCCTTAATCTTCGAATTGGATTCGGCTTATTATTTTTCATAGACTGTTAGAGTAATTTTATAAAAGTAAGCTTGAACTTTTGATTATGTAAGCAGAACTTTGTAACTGAACAATAAATTATGTCTGTTTATAGAATTAAAGAGAAAGTATTAGCACATAAAAGAAGCAACTTAAACAACTTACATTGAAAAAAATGTTTAAAGTAAAATAAATATTAAGCTTTTTTTTTTTTTTTTTTTTGTAAACTTTGTTAACTTTTAGATCATAATTGTTCTTTATTTCATAAATTACAGTTTCATATTTTTAACTTTATAATTTCTGCATGCCATCTTACCAGATTTAAACTGATGATCTATAATCCGGATAAACCGGAATCGCCGAAGTCCCGACGAGTACGGATTAAAGACTTTTGACTGTATTCAGTTATCAACTGCATGGTGATCTGTTTCTTACTTTTCAAAATGAAATTTCTGATCAATAATGTTGATTTAACTTTTTCCACAAGCCAGTTGATATGAAGTTCTCTTCTTCACCTTTACGAAATTAGTAAAAAATGTGTAGAAACAGAATTTTTGTTTTTGTTTACAGCTTGAAACCACAGAATAGCAATTTTAATGCATCTCAATTTTCCATCTTTTTCATATTTCCTTGAGGCGTAATTCTTTATTAATTACAATTCATTGTTTAAGTAAATTGCACAATGCTGTTTGGGAAATACCCAATTTAAACGTAGCTTTTATCTGGCTACATTCACCATAAATATTAAAATTTTTTAACAGATTATCCTTTGTCTGCCTCTTGATGATTACAAGCAAGCCCAATGAATCCTTGTTTTTTCTTTAGCCTACAGTTACTACTCCTTTCCCCTTCAAAGACTCTTTAACTACAGTAATACTTAGAAGTATTTCAGAACTTTTTTTTTATACCTGTCAGAGAGCATAATCCCAAATGGAAGATATTGAATGTGGAAACCTTAAAAAATGGAATACAGAAGCTGCATTGTACATCCTACTGCTTGTCCAAGCGAGAGGAAGGTCTGGAAAATGGAAAGGAAGGTCTGGAGGGACGGAAAAGTACACTTGCTTGGAATTTTCTTCAGTGATCTCAGAGTGTTCTTAGCTTCTCCCTTTTGCGTTTGTTTAAATTTAGTTCTTTCCATCTCAAGATCGTTATATCAGTCACAATTAATTATTGTCTAATACTTTTGTGTTTTTTGTTTGATATTTTTGCTTATGGATTCCAAAGCATCATCGAATTCAAAAGGCAAATACTTTTGAAGTTCGACCAAAGGAATTTTGCACAATGTTGTTACATTTTGTAATAATGAAGAAGATAAGGGTTCTGTATGTATCCCATTATCACATGCTACTAAACGAGCTTCTGCTATCGCCGGTGTATCAGAGAGCACCATCAGAAGAATTCGTAAAGAAGGCAACCGAAATGATCCCCCCAGTTTTCCTTCACCTAAGAAGCGTACTGTAAAGAAAACGATAGAAAATGTGGCTTTAGACGGATTTGATCTTGATGTAATAAGAAGAACATTCCACGAGTTTTATGTGACAGAGAAAAAGGTACCAATGGTTCCAAAATTACTGATAAAAGTTAAAGGAAAAAATAAATTTTCCAAGAGAGAAAGAAACCCTACGAAAGATACTTCATGAAATTGGATTCCGTTGGAAAAATTGTAAAAATAAAAGTCATCATAGAACGAAATGATATAGTACTTTCGCAAACGAGATATTTGAGAAATATTCACAGATTCAGAAAAGAGAAAAGGCCTCTTATTTTCGTAGATGAAACTTGGGTCGATAGTAATTTGACGGTTGGAAAATGTTGGCAGTCTGAGGAAGTGTTCGGAGCTGTGGAGACGGGAGCAGCATCAAGGGAAATCATCGTTTTATGAGCAGGTGGGGAAATGGGATTTATTCCAAACACAAAATTAATTTATAAAGCTAATTGTAACACAGGAGATTACCATGGGCAAATGAATTCGAATATATTTGAAAAATGGGCAACAGAAAAATTGATTCTGAATTTACCAAAGGATTCCACTGTTGTAATAGACAATGCTCCCTACCATTCAGTGCAACTGAACAAGCCGCCAAATTCATCTCATAATAAGCAGAGTATAATGGATTGGCTTACTTCAAACAATATTGTGTACTCACCAAATATGCGAAAGATCGAACTGTTGAACATTGTTAAAGAACATCTTCCACCGAAAAAACATATAAATTTGATGTCATGTTGAACATTTGAAACGTGATGAAGAACATGGATTCACAGCATTGAGACTGCCACCATCACTGTGAAATAAATGCTATAGAGTATGTTTGGGCAGATATCAAACATTTTATTCGTGCAAAAAACATAACGGCAGATATAAACATGGAAAACTCTTAAAGCTCACTGAACACGCTATAGAAAATGTTACAATTGAAAAATGGAAGAACTATTGTGCACACGTAGAAAGCTTGGAAAATGCTTACTGGGAAAAAGATGGTATACTTGAAGAAATGTGCGACTCTTTAGTTATTTCCTTGGACGATGATGACGATTCAGAACGTTTTTCGGACGATTCGTCAGAGAACGAAGGTTAAATTTCCAACTGATATATTTTTATTATTGTTTTTGCATAATTGCTTAATGAAACCCAAAGTAAGAAATTCTTTAATTTTGTACTATTTTAAAGACTTCAATGCAAATAATTAAATTTTAATATAAATAATTAGTGTAATTAATTTTTCAGACATGTTTACAGCAATTATTTTAGCTTACAATCATTAAAATAAATTCTAAAAGTTTATTATAGATGTGTTTTTTTATTCTGTGTGTGTGTATGTTATTTTCGTGATAATTTTAAACTGATTTTTGTTCAGTAATTTTCCATTTTATGCATCTTCCCTTTATACGTTGTTTGTTTTTATTTATTCTGTCGGCATTTAAGCAAGAGACTCTTTATATTGCACAACAGAACTCATCCGCAGCTATCCATCTTCCCTATTTTCACTCTGAGAAACAAATCGGAGCAATCAGTAAATCACATGACCAGTCTCTTTCGGCTGGCAAAGCAGTATAAGCTGATATTCAAGAACGAACTCTCATTTACAATGCCTCTATAAAGTAGTGGTTCTCAACATTTTTCTTTGACATACCCCTTAACAAGACAAGGCTGCAATTGTAAATTAGTCCTAACCTTGTAGAGACATTAGATATTTTTTTAATGTAGGAAAGATTAAAAATGAGTAATTGCCTTCGCCGGAAATCGAACCACAGACCTTTGGAACACTGGCCTAATGTGCAGAACCACTGCAACACGAAGGCACGCTAGGAAGGCAGGGGTAATACCTTATATACCCCCTTTTAAAGGGTGACTAGGGTTTTTAGCGGACTCAATCGCCAAATCCTGGGTGTGGAGAGTCATCATCTATAACCCTTTTAGTTCAGGTGCTACAGTAGAGGCATTAAGATTTTTTATGGAAGCAGGCAAGATAAAAATTAGCAAACGCCTTCGCCGGGAATCGAACCACGGACCTCTGAAATACTGGCTCAGTGTGCTGACCACTACACAATGAAGGTATGAGAAATACCTCATAACCTTAAGAAGTTATTACCCTTTGATCCTCCTTCCATATTTTTATAATATATCTTACAATGCTTTTATTTAATACCATAAAATTAATAAATCACAATAAATACAGTCAGAAAAGTGCCAGTTGCTCTTTTTCAGATAATATTAATTTTTATGCTGCTTTAAAGGAATTTTCATCGATAGGATCTGAAATCCAATTGTCCTTCTCACTTCTTTTGGGAAAGCAATGTTTGAACAACCCTCGAAGGTTAAGTGTGTTCTTACAATTTGACTTTGTAAACTGAAGTTAATTTTCCTGACAAGAATTTATAAAGTGTCTCAAAAATTTCGATACAATTCGTCCTGATATAACAAAGGAGGAAATGCCAGATATAATGCATATGGAATCCAGTAATATGACAGGTGTTCACTGAACTACAATTTATTACATTCCTTTTACATACATTTTGGATAGTAACATTCACATCAAAATTAGTCAAACTGATTCACTTTCTAATCCAATGGTTCTCAACATTTTTGTTCCATGCACTCTTTTTATTACTGCTCCCCTCCTCCTTACCAAACTTGAAATATATATACATGTTTATTTAGATTAATATTACATTATTTTTAATGCATTTTACACATTAAATCAAAAGAAATATATCAAATGTTGGCAACACCAAAAACTTGAACAAAAGTAGGTTTTTTATAATATTCATAAACTAATAAAATTAAATACTTAACAGCTACATAAAGGACTGAGAGCATTCCCCACTGAAAGTATGAAACACCTCGTTTGAGAACCCCTGTTCTTATCAATGTCAAATTTAAATTTTCTGAATATTTTGATTTTTTCAGCATTTATTACAACATTTTATTTTCTGCCATTACTTATAATTTTTTCACATACCCCCTCCTGATTATGCAATCAAATACACCCAAGGCTATGTGTACAACAGGCTGAGAACTGTACTTTAGAAGATGGATTTTGCTAACATTAAGATAAGTAAATTCTGCCCCTCTGAAGTCCAATGCAGACGAAGAATTCTGAAAACAATGTGTCAGAAGGACAGAGACTGGAATTTTTGTCAAGCCTGTTTTATTAAGTATTATATACTTGAATAATAAAGCCATGATCCACAATACATTAAATGAATGAACTAAAAAAAGCTTTTATAGTTATAAGTATATTATGTCACTAAAGAATCAATCATTTACCAATCTGAGTTTAATAAGTGGCAAAGAAGAGTTTAATAAATGGAATTTTTCTATTGATTAGCATGTATTTGTTTCGATTCTTGGAAACTTCAATGTAATTAGCAGCTGAGCTTGAATAACCAGAGAATTTAATAAGTGGCAGCTATGGATAACCCTCTATCCATACTGATTACACATTATAAGCAAATTCTGCAATATGATATTTGAATCCAATTTCACTATAAGGTCACATTTTGTCGAATCAAGAAATTTATCACACTACTAGTAGTCAGTTTTAATACAGTAAAATATTACTACCAAAATAAGTATACTTTTCTTCTCATATATTAATTAAATAATATTGAAATAAATTTTATCAAATTATGTATACTAAAAATCCATGAAATTTGAAGTTGCCAGCATACAATTTATGTGCATAAAAAGTGAAATTAATACTGAATCTAAATCAAAAAATTTTAAGATTTTTATAAAAAGTAATAAAACAAAGGCATATGTCATTTTAGAATGCACAATATTAAAAATTTCTCTCGAAGGAAATTTCAAGATACCCTAAATTATTCTACAAGAAACTTATTCTTTTCCAGAAAAAATTTGAGAAGTCAAAAAAGTTAAATTTTACTGTGCACTATATAATTTAAAATTTTATATATTATTTAAAATTCTAATTTTTTAATTTAAGATTTTTTAGCTAAACACACAATACTTTCAAAGGAAGTCATTAGAAACGTACCTCACTATTATGACTAGATCTTTCTTCCCTGGCTCGTTCCCACAGATCAAATGCTATATTAAAAGCCTGGGATATTGTCAAAGCAGCAGCTTGAGCAACTTTACGCTTTGAACAAAGGAATGCATGGCATTCCAGTGTTTCATTTTTATTTGTTCCTATGAAGGCAACAACACGGTCATAATTGGCATCTGCTGAACAAAATGAGATCCTGAGGGAAAAAAAAAATACAAGCATTTATAAATTCAAACATCACACTTTAAAATCAGAAAACATCCATAAACTGAAAGTTTGCCATTATTGAAAACTGATTTGTTTGAATAGTTTAAGTATAATTAAGATATTCTAAAAACAATTTCAATTATTTAAAATTGCTATTACTTTTTTTTTTACATACATATTAGAGTTCAATTTAATGAAGATGCTTAATGTAAACCAGTAAAAACAATTTAGTTAATTATTAGTAATAATTACTTTATCTATCAAACTGCCAAATTCCCAGCATTTATATTATTTATAGGAAATGCAGTATACCACTACTTATCATTAAACAACATTTGAAAATATATAAAATTAATAATAAAAAAACAGCTCATATTTTACTGAATCAATAGCAATTTTTCATTAATAAAATCTTGCATATCAAATACAGGTAATTAAATTTTCCACTTTTGATTAATAAAATAACTAACAAAATGAGGGAATAAAATTTCCTAAACACCTATAAATACAAACATTTGATATTGCAAATTAATGCTTTTTTTGTCACATTAATAAATGGTTCAACAGTTTTCTGAAAATTATGAATGAATTGTCAATCATTGTTTGTCATTCTCTGAATATCCATTTAATCTAAATGGATCTCTCCCTTTCTTTAGCATCATAGCTTCTTTTCTTGCTGCCACTGACTGCAATGAATGAGAAAAAGTAAAATGGTAACATAAAGGAATTAATCTCTTCATTTAAGTAGGCAATTGTTAACTTCCTGGCCAATTTACTACTTGGAAGAATTTATTTATAATGTGTTTTACAAGTTTGAAGAGAACAGATTTTGAAGTTCACAAGGAAGATTAAAAAAAAAGAGAGAGAGAACTTATTTCTTGGATATTTTTTGAATGGCTTCCAGAAAATTTAACCTTTATCCCTCTATTTTATAACTACCAAATTATCATCTTCACTGTAATGAAACTATTACATTCCTTTCCTACTCAACCCAAATGCTGAGATAACATCACATCATCAGTACTTTTGTACCACCATATGCATCTTTTTAATAAAATAAAGAGCTACACTATAATCTTCTTTTCCATTTAAAACTATACCAACTTTTATTCAAGTCCTGATTATCTCACTGATAATTTTAGAATACTTTCCATCAATTCAAAAAAAAAATAAAAAAAAAAAATAAAATAATAATAAAAAAAAAAAAAAAAAAAAAAAAAAAAACCACCATACTTTCAAAGTTTAATAAAAAATTTACAAATTTATTTTTGGAGAAATGAGTCAGGAAACTAAATGCAACAAAACAAGATTTGACATATTAACAAATGAACTAAAATTTCAGCTGTATTAAAATCCAATACTTAATTTGTCCATTTAAATCATTAAAATTCCTCATATTGTTTGTGTCTTGGCATCCAACTTGAAACTTCCTTAGAATTTTTTATTAGTTTCATTTCATTCATTACTATTCTTTATTAATAATTTCTGAACAATACTGAAAAACCTCCAGTGTAACTTAAATCAATTCATTGTCAAATTATCCTACCTATGTTATATTATCTTAACATTAGAAATGTTGATGCCATTAACTATCAATTGTGTGGCTTGTTGAATTTCTTATTCATGCAAAAGATAAAACTTCCGGTGACTTCCAGTGACGAAAGCGGTTGCCCTATTTCAAATCAGATTAGCGATGCCATATTTCCTTAGAGTCCATTTGAATTATATTTTTTATCCTTAAGGTTTTGGTACTTGCGCATTATCTCATTATTATGCTGACTATGAAGTTGTTGCCAAATAGTGCAATTTAGTACCAATTACGGATAAGCATGATATATTAACACACTCATAACGCTTGTTCTTTTGTTTGATTCGTGATAAGCAGTATTTTTTCTTTATTAGCAATGACTTAAACTGTTATTACTAATTTTTTGCTTGTACTTTGAAAAATTATTAAAATATAGAAGCTGTCTATTACAGAATATCAACCAATAGATCATTTTCAAAGTTATGATACCCTATCATCAAAAAAGTGTATATTATTGGACATTGTACTAATAATTTATACTAATATCTGCAGAAAATCTGTATTCAGAGAGTTATAAACAGACTTTTCGATAAAATAGTAAGGCTTAACAAAACTTTAAAAATCGACAAAAGCCTTTTAACAAAGGAAGCCAAATACTAACTGTTTATTAAATGAGAATCGTCAATGCTGTGAATTCTACAGGGAAGACTGGTGCAATTTTGGGTAGGCTCTCGGCCAAGTAATACATAAGTACCATAATTTTTTTTTTAATTATAATCGGTCTCTGCATTTTTAACAGCAGATTCCATTACGTCATGTTAAATATTAAAATTGCTATGCTTATTTCAATTATTAAAATTTTTGGCTAGTTTTAAAATCTGACTGCTAGTTCATCTAACTCAACATCTTAAGATGATAGCTCTGTCAACAAAATCATAGCTGCCAACTCTGAAATACAAAAATCCAAGAATTTTCTTGGTCACATGGTGTCACAATTTCAAAAGATTTGCAGACTGATAAATTTGACTTAAAAGGGACTTTAACAGATCATCTGAAATATTTAAACAATTATAACATAATTCTGTGGTAAAATAACTTAGTTTAAGTCATTGTTTCTTAAAATTTTACTTTATGCTCTTTTGAATAACTTCATTTAATTTTGTAAATTTCTTAAAATTTTATACAGATGGAAACCAAAGTAGCAATGGAAATCTCTTATTCATTAAGATATTTTTAAATATGACAAAAAGTAAAATTAATAGTTCATTAGAACATAGGAAACAGTTATTCAGCAATGTAACAGTTAAAGAATCTGAAGCAAATGTTAGCATTGATATTTATCTATAAAATATTAGCCAAATCTTTAGAAATTGTTTTACAAACCTCTAACAAATTAAAGCTGGTCAAATTCAATAAAAATTGATCAGAAAAATTATACTGAAAATCGCTTAGAATGACAATGTTGTTGAGATATCTGTCTTTCGATCATTTGTTACACAATTTCTTGGATAGAATATCTTTCTTTCGATACTTGGTGGTTAAAAATGCTTCTAAAATTATATTTCAAATAGATATTCTAAATTCAGATATGATAAAAACCATGAAATTTGGAATCTTGTGGTTGCGACTTAGCAAAATAAATACAGTAAAACTAAATTCAGATATATCAAAAACCAAGAAATTTGGAATCTTGTGGTTGCAACTTAGTAAAATAAATACAGTAAAAGCCTGAATATACGACATTCAACCAACTGAAAAGCTCAAGTAAGCAAAATATTTTCAAATCAAAAATAAGGGATAAGTGTAAAGTACTTTGAGTAAACCCAATTAACTGTAGAAAAGTTGGTTTAATTTTTGTAAAAAAACTATGAAAGTTAACTGCTGTTAATCTGTTTTTCAGTCGCATTTTGAAGATGGGGGCGGGGGGAGCAAAATTCGAGACTTTGATGTATTAAGCAGTGGAACAGCATGTAGTATGGTTATTTTCAAATTTATGAGATACTGATACTGGTATCATAAAACGTGTGACTTGTGTGAAAACAGATAAACACTGGCTGTGCAACGTGAAAAATTATGACAAGCAATTTTTTTTTCACATTATGTCTGTAGCTTGTATATGTCGATTAACTAAATAAATCTGTTATTTCAAACTTCTGCCAAAATGACTGGCACAAGTTTGGCGAGATATCTACCAAACTTCATGTTGATTAACAGAATTTTGTCATCGAGTATGATGGCACTTATGTCTGCAATGCCCTTTTTTCCACATTCACATAATTTTTGGCTTTCAATATTAATACTGATAACAAATAAAATAACTTTTTATAATTTTAGACTAGAAATTTTCTATTCATTTGGCTTTTTCTACCATTAATTGCATTTTTAACAAGCTCGATTATCCAGAATTCGAGCATTTCCTGAGCTTTTTGAACAGCTGAGCTTTTATTGAACATTATCAATGTTTTCTCTGCTATTAGGTAACTTTTTAAAATCTAAGTAACTTCAATTTACAAATAATTAAATGTACTTCAACATAATACAGTACAAAGTCTGTAATCCCGACGTCCATTATCCGAAATGATCTATAATCTGAACCTCAAAGGCACAAATTTACGCATGCGCGTAGAGAACGTGCATACATTACGCATACGCATAATGTATGCTTTATGCATGTACACATTGAAAGAAATGTTTAATAAAGTAAACAAATAAATATTAAGCCTTTTTTTTGTTAAATTTGATACCCTTTAGATCATAATTGCTCTTTATTTCATAAATTACAGTTTCATACTTTTAATTGTATAATTTCTGCATGCCATCTTACCAGATTTAAATTGATGATCTATAATCCAGAAAAACCCCTTATCCGGAATCGCCAAAGTCCCAACAAGTCCAGATTACGGATTTTGTATTGTAGCAACCAGTAGCACTGTTGAAATTTTCAGTATAATCACTGATCTTAAAATGGTATATAAACTAAGGGTAGTACATCATATATAGAGATAATGATATACTATCCCTAATTGGCCTACATCTTACAAAAATGAGATTTCTTATTACTGACTGCCAATGTGCTGAAATCAGTACTATAAAGTGCATATATAAACATATACATATCTTTACCTATATATAGAAAAATCTAAATGCTTTTCACCAGTACTCAGATCTCTTGTTACAATTCCTTTTGGATTAACAGTCAGTGCTACCCTAGGAAGTTTCCTGGCACTTGATTTAGCCTGAAAACAGTGATGTACATATATTTTAGTCGTTAGTTAACAGAAATTTTAAAACAATGCATAAAAACGCTAAAACTCAATCTATAGATTAATTAACTTCTAATACAATTTATTAAATCATCAAATCTAGAGAAAAGAATGAAAAGTACTTTTATTTCTTTGTGTTCTTTAATTTATGTAATAACTTTACTTCTTCAAACTAAAACCCACCTATAAAATTTAAGTTACTGGTACTTTCCAATTATCTACACCCCTAAGAACAGCCACTAAATCAGTTTTTTGCCAACTCTGTAAGCTGGTAAAAATACCTGTAGTATTTTTTTCTGTTAACAGAGCACCACACATAAAAATGTTGGCTCAAAAAATCTGACAAGATAGTGACAACCCTAATGATACATAAAGCTTCTTGAAAGGAATGATTATTCTGTTGAATCTAGAATAAACACAAAAAATAAAGACAAATGCAAAAATACAGATTTTAGCAGATAATTTCAGATTACACAAAACTGCCAATTTCAATTAACATTATAGAAAACATTTGAGTCTTTTTCACGCAGCTGCCTTCATATGAATTTGACGAGGTAAGAATCTACGTGGGGGGTGACCAATACTCCACAGTTTTTTCATCATTCAGCACATGGCTCGTGTATTAATAATTAATTTGCATCTGTATACCTTGGAAGCAGTCACTTTATCTGCTAAAGGAAATGAAAATCCAGAAGAGAAAATTCCCAGACTGATATTTATTCTTGCTTATTCGCAACATTAGGTACAGTTATTCACGACATGATTTGGCACACAGTTAATAGAAAAGTATATTTGTTTGGCTATATTTACAGATCAAAGGTAATATTCTGTTCACAAGTAGAAAGAAACATTTTAAAATAAAGTAAATTTATGAGGGGGCAATCTATATGACCAACATTTTCACTTTTACAGCTAGTGGATACTATTAGCTATGGTCTTCAAAAACACATTACCTTTAGCTTGATGGGTCTCTTTCAGCTAATAAATAAAATAAGCAACCACTGCAAAGGCAATATGGTCATCTTCAAACTAATTTTTGATCTACATTCCAACACTGTGCTTGCAGTTTTTTAAAATTCAATTTCCAGAAAATATGGTTGTTTAGGAAGCATAATGTCAAAGAAGGTAAAATTTTGTACTTTTTACTGTGGAACCAAAAACCGTATGGAGCCTGTCTTAAAATATTTTTTGGTACTGTAAAGGCAGCCACGGCATTTATCCTAATCCTTGAAAACACCCTAATCCTCGAAAAAAATAACACTAAGTCAAGAAAAAGTTTAAATGAACCCAGAAAATTTAATAAAAAGGTTTAAAAGAAACCATATTACATATTTAGCTGAATAATTTACACAGCATGTGTACTAAAATAAGTAATATAAACTGCATATATAAATCTATATACATGTCTTGACTAGAAAAATCGGTACTATTCGGTTTTGAGGGAAAAAAAAAAAAAAAAAGCTTAACTATTGTTGATGCCAGTGCTGCCAAAAAGAATTGCGGGAACCCTAATACAAGAAAGGAGGTATAATAGTAAATAACTATCTAAGATTGATGTTTTAATTTAGATGAAAGGTTATTTTCATATATTAATAATTTTTTATTATTATAATTTATATAAAAAGGCTAAACATGATTGAATGGAAGCATAAGATTAAATAACTATTTCAGATCATTATTTTATCATTCACATTTATATAATAATTGCTAAACATAACTGAATGGATGCCTGCATTGCTATTTTGCTACCGAGTTCACTAAAGCATAATTTCATCTCGTTGGTCGTTCAAACATAATTTTCTATAACAAATAATGCCTTGTCTTTGAAAAAATTCTTGGTAAAGTGCAAAACCGCCCACTTATTTGTTTACCGCTTTTTACAAGGGTAAAAACAGTTGGATTTTTGTCAATTTTCTTTTACTGTAAGAGAAAATAGGTCGATGTGTACATAGATAAAGTCAAGGGTGTGCGCAGTGCCATTTTTGTGCAATTCTAGGATTTTTTTTAAAATGAAAACAGATCGATGTGTACATGGATACCAAGTATGTGCAATTCTTAAAAGCACGTTAAGCAGTGGGTGATTCTGCACTTTACTCAAAATTCAGTTGATTTTTACAATATGGTAACTGGTAGTTTGGCGACATTTTGGAGGCGATAAAGGTTACTACCTGGGACTTTGGTAATAATGTGAGCAGTACTCAGTTCCGATTATGCATTATTTTGTGTGAGGGAAATGAGAGATCATGGGATATGTCATGTGATATTAATGGACGAATTACGGTTCTTTAATCAGAAAAGGGGGGAAATCGGGGAAAAATCTGGAAATTTTGTATTTGGCTTTATTCTGTGTTGTGTGAAACAGTGTTCGTGAATTTTTGGATCCCATGGCCGTAACTAAAGTGAATTCGAAATGGGTATTTATGTACGTATTAATTTAATGTATGTGCTCATTATATTTTAAGTAGTGTTTTTGAATTTAATTATATTTTAATTAAATGATAGTTATTTTGTGAATTTATGTTTGTAGGAATTTGGTATACGTTTAGTACATGGATAAAGTTAAGAATTGCGCAATGCCATTTTAGCATTCTGGGATTTTTTTAAACGAAAATAGGTGACGTGTACATGGATGATACGTGCATGTGCAATTAAAACGTGGCAGGCAGTGGCAATTCTGCACTTGCTCCGAATTTCGCACCTAATCTTCGTCATGATTAAGCACTTTTGTTCCATAAAAGTTCTAGCATAAGCGTAACTCGGTGCATGGAAATAATTTAAATATCTGACACTAAGTATTTATAATGGTTGCGGTATGAATTCGTTGGTGACGTGTATAATGTAATAGATGATTTAGAGGTAAAAGTTTTTGGATATTTTATTTATTTTATATGTGGAAATGTTCATATTTGGAAAGGGTAAATACTTTTTCGCGATCAGGTAATTTCATATATGTTCTTTTTACCGGGTTTAAAGATTGAGAAAATTGTCATGTACTTTCGTAAAATTTTTCTAATTTATGAGAAAAAAGCAGTGTACATGGATATAGTGAAGAGTGTGCGCAATGCCATTTTTGTGCAATTCTGGGATTTTTTTTAAGTAAAAATAAGTCGGCATGTACATGGTTTATGTGTACGTGTACATGGTTTTATGTGTACATGGTTTATGTGTATTTTGAAAAACGTGTAAGGAGTGTGGTATTGTGCACTTTTTCCCCAATTTTGCAGTGAATATTTGTCATGATTAAGCAGTTTTGTTAGATAAAATTTCTAGCATAAGTGTAATTCGGCTAGTAGATTGTTGGAAGAAGTGTTCAGTAGATAAAAAGAAAAGAAACATGTCTTTACTTGGTGAAGACAAAACGGCGGCGGGAAAAAAAAATAGAGGGTTGCTGTAGGAGAGTTGGTCGCCAAATTTTCGCCAAAAAAACGCCAAGTTACCATAATGTAAAGATCAACCCAAAATTCTATTGCAAACTTTTCGTTATGGGCAATTCCCAAATTGTTAAATCCATAGAATATCAAAAAAGGATTTAAAAATGAAACTAGTATTTCAATAGCGTCTTAAGAAATACAGAACTATATAAACTTACACAATCCAAAATCAGCGCGTACGCTAGATTTGGTGTGCTGTTAAACGGGTACGTTTGCTAGATTTGGCGCTTTTGCGCATACATTTTCGCTGTAATTTTTGGCTAATCTTTGGAATATGGTAACAGGTAGTTTGGCGACATTTTGGTAAGGCAATAAAGGTTACTAGCTAGGACTTTAGCAGTGTACATGGATAAAGTTAAGAATGTGCGCAATGCCATTTTTATGCAATTCTGGGATTTTTTTAAACGAAAATAGGTCGACGTGTACATGGATGATACCGTGCATGTGCAATTAAAACGTGGCAGGCAGTGGGCGATTCTGCACTTGCTCCGAATTTCGCACCTAATCTTCGTCATGATTAAGCACTTTTGTTCCATAAAAGTTCTAGCATAAGCGTAATTCGGCTAGCAGATTGTTGGAAGAAAAGTTGAGTAAAAAAAAACAAAAAAACAAATGCCTTTACTTCGTGAAAACAAAATGGTGTCCAAAGAAAACTAGTAGGTTGCTGTAGCCGGGTTGGTCGCCAAAAAATCGCCAAGTTACCATAATTCGAAGATTAACCCAATTTTTTACGTTCCTTAAAACGGAATATTACCGAAAAATCTAAATACCAGTAAGACTATCCCCAGCAGTTAAATCTCTAATTACGATTCCTTTTGGATTAATAATATACGAGGTATGGGTTAAGAGAACACAAAATTTAAAATGAAACTAACACTGACACATTTACTGCCATCTACAAGAAGTACTTGTAGTCAGTAAACTGAGTTTACGTGCCAGCCACAACACAGCTCATCATGCATCACTTCAGTACAGATAGGATCTTGGCATGTGAGAGGATACATCATAACAGCTTTGGCAGTGAACTCATTAAGTATTTAAAATATGATAGTCACAAGAAAGACAACATAAGTTTTGGCTCAGATAAGCAAACACAGTTAGCAATGGCTAAAGCTAATTTAAGTAAATTTAGATGCAGGGCAAAAATGACATCAAGACTATCAGTGATTGCTGCCAGAAAGCTTGCCACTAAACTCAAGAACTGTGTTGCATTAAGTAATTTGTATCTTAATAGAAGTCGAAGAAAGTAGAGTGACAATACATGCAAAATAAGATAATTTGGTTAATAATCACAAAACTCTACATCATGTTTATTAAGATATGCAACACTTTTTTTTTTTCTCATCGGCAAGTACACTACAGTCTCTCTACAGTCTCTACGATTTATTATGCTCCTTCCTGCTCCCTAAGGACATCTGGTGAGGAAGGACAATGATCAACAGAGTAACTTTTATAGCAAAACTTGTAAATCTATGTGTACTCGTAATACATGCATAAGACACACATGCAAGGACACATGCATGACTCACATGCACACCCAAAAATATGCCAGAAGTACAGCAAATTTACTAAATGTTAAAACCAGGGATGCAGATATTCAGAAAGTATAAAAGTAATTATCTTACTATTTATAATTTTTAACAGAAATTACTGCAATAAAGAAGGCAACATATTTTTAAGTTCCTGACAAAAGTATGCATTAATTTCATGTCCAACTACTGAATATTTATTTAGTTGATTATTGACGGAAATATACTTTATAGCAACCTTTCTACAGAGACAATACATTCACTCGAGCTGAATGCAGCAACTAAGAATTTTGTGTTCCAATTTATAATTGCTATGCCTTTTTACATTTCAGAAAACATTTATCATAATACAAAGAGAGAATTAATATAAATTATACAATAATCCACCGCAAATATTTCACTATAATTTTAAATTATCTGCTTGAAACTTGTTACCCATCATTTTAGCCCAGAAGGGCTATTAATTTCATTTTGGTATTTTGTGCTGAAAACCTTAAAAAGGTGTATCATTTTCAGATTGCTGTCACCAAAGATTATCACCCTGTATTATATTTAAAGCAATTAAATAATTACGAATCTAGATGAATGTATGCATGTTTCTCGCATTGTGATAAAACAACAGTACCTAGAGCCATCAAATTTTGAATGATGTACTTCTCCACCCGTTTATGGGCATCTGCATCTGAATTTGAAATATCTATTTCATATTTTGTAAAATTTTAATATTTTGATTAACAAACTCAAAGCACAAGACTGCGTATTGGAAACTCTAAAGATATGCTCTTTTAAAACTATGATACTGCTGTTGAATTGAATTCTATGGTTTAAGTGCGAAGAACATGATTATTTAATAAATAAAGGTAACACATACAAAACATTAAATTAAGCCCCTTTAGGCATAATATAAAGTCTGAAAACTTTCAGTTTTCTTTTATTATATTTTTTTTAAATTTTGAGATTATTTAGATAAAATTTCATTATTTTGTAAACTGCAAAGTACAAATCAAGTGTGCAAAACAGTAAAAAATAAGTTTTATAACTCACCATTGTAATGATTGCTTTAATTGCATCAGCAGTTGTTTGCTGATCATTAGGCTCATCAACAAGTGTACTTCCGAGATACTTGACATAAAATGTTATTCCATCCAAAACAGGTTCTTTAATTGTATCATCCCATTCCTCAGGCAATTCTAAAAGGATAAAAGAGAAAACTACTGCAAAATTTTATATGCATGACAGAGACAGATTTGACATTTACTCTTATTTCAGAAGATATTCAAACTTTTAAGCTTTTTAGAACAACAAACGATTTACATAAAATTTTTCTAATGAAACTGACATGCACTTTCCCTTTCGTTCATGGAGATATCAGATTTTAACAGTTGTATTTTGTAGCTGTATTACATTTCTTTTAATTTAGTATACTATCATACATATTTTTTTAAGCGAATTCGGGCCTAACTGTTGGTTTTGAATTTAATTGTTTATAAGATTTTTAGGAAGAGGGAGGGGGAAGAATGATGCAATTTAAAATACATGTGCTTTGACTTGTTAGGAATGGATTTAAATTCGCTCCTTCGACTTCACTGAAACGGCAAAAAGTGCTTCTTTTCTCCTATTTAAACTTACTTTTATGTTTTAAGCGACCAAACAAACCGGAGGAACCAAAACGCACTGCTTTCAGAATAGACTCCATAATCGGGACAAGGTTGAGCAACAAATAAAAACTTCTGATTATTGTTGAAAAATGTTACGTACCGAAAAGATTTTCTTCCAGCGCCCCCTAGAAATTTAAAAGCAAACTTGTCGTATTAATTTACATATACCTAATATTCCGGAAAATGATATTTATAGCCTTTCTTTGGATAACATTTTATAGACATATTTTACGAAGTATATTAAATGAAATTCATGATTACAATGTTTCTTTTATAATCACGATTACAGAAGGAAGATTATAGAAGTAATATATATTTTCCCGCTCATTAAAAAAAATATTTACTATATAATTTATGCGTTGACAACCAAGAGATTAAATAAATCCCATCCCTAATTGTTTACAGAAGAGCTTTCTTTCTCTTTGACCATCCCATGACTCCACCCATACATCTACATATTATAATGGTTTGCGGTATGGCAACATCCCGAATTAAAGAAAACATGCCTGGAGAAAGATTTCGCGCGAAGTTTGTTGTCAAAGTTTCCATTTCGGAGAAATGATACTTTTGTTATTTATTTACATATTTCAGCGATTTTAATAACCATTGTACGTATATATAACTCTAAATTCTCCAACTGATGTAGTTATTCACTATCTTTTATATTCTTTTAATTGAAGGGATTGTAATTGGTTTTTCTTTTGTTTTTAACCTAATTTATTACGTCACTTTATATCGTCTTGATTTTTATTGAATTTATGTAAATCCATGCTTCACTGAATCAGACCGCAAATGTTTTGATAAAATAATTCACTGTATTTTGTTATGATTAATTTTTAACCATTAAAAGGCCAATAATGTTTTACTTTACATCTGTATTTTCTAATTTATTTACATATAAATTAAACTGAAGGCTCATAAAAACAACTATCAATAATGTGCCATCGAAACTCAGTAGACAAATTAATTTATCTTTTGCATGTATTTCATTAAATTAAAAAATCTTTTTATATGCATAAATACATTTTCAGAGTATAAGCTTAGAGCTACAACTTATTAGCAGTAGCAGGCATTCTGTCTGATGGGCTACTGCAACGGAAGATCCTATGACGCCATCCCATTCAATCTTTGGCCATAGAATTCAGAACTAACTGGTAGGATTCAGCAAACTCTTTCATTACTTATTATTGTAATCATATTAAAAAAGGAAAACAACGCATTAATATTTTTTCAGCCATTAGTTTTAATCATTTTGTAGAGGCTATTTTAAGTTTTTAACAGTTATTTTATTTTTTAAACATGCTTTAGTCTTTGTTCTAGTTTCCCCACCTACTATTCTCTGCCAGAATGAGTTTTTACATACGTTGCATGTAAATGAGGTAGAAAGAGTATTTAAAGGAAAGTTTCGCTTACTTCAGCTGAAGAACGTAGGAGTCCTTAGTGGCACATTTGCTGTCAATTACTTCGTTATTTAAACCTAACTATGCTGGTCCGTATTGTTCGTGGCTGCTAATATTCTCTGGTTAATTTAATAAAGGGCCAACTATGCTGGATAATTTTGTACAGCTTCGAATAATTTAGTTTAGCATTAGATTAGTTTCTTATCTTGATTTAAAGCCGAAGTGGAGGCTTTTTGGAGAAGTACACAAATGGCACAAGAAAGGCGCCATCTGTGTTCTTAGTTTGATATAATAAAGGGTGAGTTTAGCCTTTCTCTGGACTTTTCATTTACACACTTGTACTCGGCGATAAGTTGCTACCTAGTTCAGAAAGGTTTCTACGTAGTTAAGCATAGACAAAGTAGTTAGAAATATTACAGCCTTGGTGACAGATGTATTTATTAATGAGTAAAAATTTAGTAATGTATAAAAATGTTTATCGTTTCTAATTATCTGCCCTCTCACTAAAAGCTGCCAACTTTGGGAATTGGGGAAAAGTGTCTTTTTGCAGTCTTTACAGCTTACGGATACTCTTCTGTTCATAAATAATAATAAAAAGAAGCATTTTCTAGAAAGCAAAAAGCTTTATTAGAAAAGAAAATCTGTATGTTTCTTATTTAAATCTTTACAGGCAGTAAATATTGTTCAGTGAAATGATGGTTAACTATAAAGCATACATATCCAAATGTACTGAAATATAAAGCATACAATTCCACATGTGTAGTATACTCGGGCATGAACTGGCTGTTGTAACGTGCATACTTGAAAATGTGCCAAAAACAGCAATTTTATCACATGTTAAAACCCAAGTTGTGGATAATCAGGAAGTACAAAATTTTTATGTCACATATCTCATTTCATACTGTAATTAATGAAGTCTATATGTGGACCTGGCAGGACAATTCAATATGCTCTTATGGTTTTTTTTCCCGTATAAAACTTAATTTTGCTGTTAGGTTTTTCCACACGTATAAATTCTGTTTTTGATTAGTTTATTAAAATTTATATTGATATACATTTACAAGTTACAAAAAAGCTTTTTCAACTTCAGAAGTATTTCACTTTTTTAGCACCGTATATACATGATTTTAATCTCATTTAAATTTTTTTCATGTTATTGTCAATGTCTACCAAATACATATCACATATTAAACACTCTTTGGCTGATTTTTACAACATTGTGAAATGCCATTGTATCATAATAAAATTCTGCTGCAATCTAGTTTTATGTATATAGATATCACAATTTAACTAAATGGATGTTTTATCAAGAAAAAGCATACCAGTGTTTTTGCTTTCATGGGACACTTTGTAAAGGCAAATTCATTCTCATTTAATAAGTTGAGTTTTTAATAAAACTTCTTTGAACTTTGTAATATTAAAAGTCTTGTGTCAAGCTTTTGTAAATGAGTTTTCCTTTTTATCAACCGAAACTTCTCTTATATTGTGAAAGCTATTCTTTGTTTTATTTCAATATTTGGTTCTGATAAATTTATTGAAGTAGTTTGTATTTACATTACACATGGGAAAAGCTGGAATGAAAATATCAATATTTTGTGGCTTTAGCCTTCTATTTGGTTATCCAGTTATATGCAGACTTTTATAAATGAGCATAGCCTGGCATTCTAGAAAATAGATGTAGATAAACAGTGCTTATTTTTTTTTCCTGAATTTAATTTAGTTGTGTAGCTTTGTTTTGATGAATGCATATATCTCTTTCAAAATAACAAGGTTTATTTCATGTGTAAAAAAACTTATATGTGCTAGTTCTGTAAGAGGAGAGTACAGTCATGATGCCCTTACAGTAGAAAACATGTTTCAGTATATGATTTGGATTTATAAATTAGTTTAACTTAAGTACGGAGCCAGTGAACGAAAGTTCTGCATTTTGATTTTTACTGATAAATTTGATGTTTTTTACGAGTTCATTGTTTTTTTTAATTGCTGATGTTGCAACTATGATACTTAATTTATTTGTAATTTATTTCTATAACTACTTCATAAGAGCATATATGTAGGCTTACATTAGTATAAAAAAAAATAAATGTAAAATTTCATATTGATTTTGTAATTTTTTTTTAAGTTTAAAAACTGCAGCATCAAAAATTATTTTGCAGGTTATTAAAAATTATTATTGTATTAGCTTAAAGTTGTATTTAGTTAAAATTATGAATTTTTTATTGATATTTTGTTATTAAATTTCCCATTTTTTTGTAGGTGGCGTGGATTTTGTTGGCTTTTTTAATGCCTCAAATATGAATGAGTTTGAAATAGCAAAGAAACTGAGAGATTGTCTTTTACAACTTGTTGAAGGAAAAGCTACTGAACGAAAAGTAAATTACGTTTTCCTTTAAATATGCTTTTAAACTGTATAGGAAATTTGTTAATTATATTAACAAATTAAATGAATGCATTATTATATTTAACATAACGATAAGTTTATTTTTTACTCTTCATTTTTATTTTGTAACATAGTAAAAAATACGGTTGATCTTTACAATATTGTAACTGGTAGTTTGGCGACATTTTGGAGGCGATAAAGGTTACTACCTGGGACTTTGGTAATAATGTGAGCAGTACTCAGTTCCGATTACGCATTATTTTGCGTGAGGGAAATGAGAGGAGATCATGGATATGTCATGTGATATTAATGGACGAATTACGGTTCTTTAAAAACGGAAAAAGGGAAAAGGGGGGAAATCAGGAAAAAAAATGTGGAAATTTTGTATTTAGCTTTATACGTGTTGTGTGAAACAGTGTTGTTTAATTTTTGGATCCCATGGCCCTAACTAAAGTTAATTCGAAATGGGGGTATTTAGGCATTGTGATAAAGAGAGTTTGCTTTTATTTAGCGGAGGAAGTATGAGGAAAAATTCGCAGAAGAAAAAATCTTTCAATAATTTCATTGAATGAATTCGAAAAGTGTATCCGCCACGTAATCAAGATTCTGAAGAAGATTAGGTAAGTTAGTATTTTTAATTATTTGAGGATATTATTTTATGCATTGTTCTAAATGTAAGGTGGAAAGGAATTTGGTATTATTGGGAAAATTGTTATTAGCAATGATTTAGTTTAAAGTAATTAGGATTGTAAGGTAATTTTTTAATTTAATGTATGTGCTTCATTTATATTTTAAGTAGTGGTTTTGAATTAATTATAATTTAATGAATGATAGTTATTTGTGAATTTATATTTGTAGGAATTTGGTATACGTTTAAGTTGAAATAAACGTTCTATGGAAATAATTTAAATTTTGATACTAAGTATTGTAATGCTTGCGGTATGAATTCGTTTGTGACGTGTATAATGTAATAGATGATTTAGAGGTAAAAGGGTTGTTCTTTACATTATGGTAACTTGGCGATTTTTTGGCGAAAATTTGGCGACCAGCTCTCCTACAGCAACCCTCTATTTTTTTTTCCCCGCCGCCATTTTGTCTTCACGAAGTAAGACATGTTTTTTTCTTCTTATATGAACACTTCTTCCAACAATCTACTAGCCGAATTACACTTATTGCTAGAAATTTTATCAAACAAAACTGCTTAATCATGACAAATATCACTGCAAAATTGGGAAAAAAAGTGCACAATACCATACTCCTAACGCGGTTTTAAAATAACACATACACATAAACCATGTACACGCCGACTTATTTTACTTAAAAAAACATCCCAGAAGTGCACAAAAATGGCATTGCGCACACGCTTACTATATCCATGTACATTTGCTTTTTCTCATAAATTAGAAAAAATTTCACGAAAATACATGACAAATTTTCTCAATCTTTAAACCCGGTAAAAAGAACATATATGAATTGACCTGATCGCAAAAGTATTTACCCTTACAAATATGAAACATTTCCAATATTAAAATAATAAAATATCCAAATACTTTTACCTCTAAAATCATGTATTACATTATACACGTCACAACGAATTCATACCGCAAGCATTACAAATACTTAGTATCAAATATTTAAATTATTTCCATAGACGTTTATTTCAACTTAAACGTATACCAAATTCCTACAAACATAAAATTCACAAATAACTATCATTTCATTAAAATATAATGAAATTCAAAACCACTACTTAAATATAAATGAGCACATACATAAATTAATAAAAATACCTTTACAATCCTAATTACTTTAACGAAATCATTGCTAATAACAATTTTCCCAATAATACAATTCCTTTCCACCTTACATTTAGAACAATGCAAAAAATAATATCCTCAAATAATTAAAAATACTAACTTACCTAATCTCTTCTTCAGAATCTTGATTACGTGGCGGATACACTTTTCGAATTCATTCAATAAAATTATTGAAAGATTTTTCTGTGAATTTTTCCTCCATACTTCCTCCGCTAAATAAGAAGCAAACTTCTCTTTATCACAATGCCTAAATACCATTTCGAATGAAACTTAACTTTAGTTAGGGCCATGGGATCCAAAATTAAACAACACTGTGTTTCACACAACACAGTATAAAGCTAAATACAAAATTTCCACATTTTTTCCTGATTTCCCCCCTTTTCCGATTAAAGAACCGTATTTCGTCCATTAATATCACATGACATATCCCATGATCTCTCATTTCCCTCACGCAAAATAATGCGTAATCGGAACTCAGTACTGCTCACATTATTACCAAAGTCCCAGGTAGTAACCTTTATTGCCTCCAAAATGTCGCCAAACTACCAGTTACCATATTGTAAAGATCAACCGGTAAAAGTTTTTGGATATTTTATTTATTTTATATGTGGAAATGTTCATATTTGTAAAGGGTAAATACTTTTCCGCGATCAGGTAATTTCATATATGTTCTTTTTACCGGGTTTAAAGATTGAGAAAATTGTCAGTATTTTCGTGAAATTTTTCTAATTTATGAGAAGAAAGCAGTGTACATGGATATAGTGAAGAGTGTGCGCAATGCCATTTTTGTGCAATTCTGGGATGTTTTTTAAGTAAAAATAAGTCAACGTGTACATGGTTTAGTGATATTTTAATTAATGATAGTTATTTTGGGAATTTTATGTTTGTAGGAATTTGGTATACGTTTAAGTTGAAATAAACGTGCATGGAAATAATTTAATATTTGATACTAAGTATTTGTATGCTTGCGGTATGAATTCGTTGGTGACGTGTATAATGTAATAGATGATTTAGAGGTAAAAGTTTTTGATTATTTTATTTATTTTATATGTGGAAATGTTCATATTTGGAAAGGGTAAATACTTTTTCGCGATCAGGTAATTTCATATATGTTCTTTTACTAGGTTTAAAGATTGAGAAAATTGTCATGTATTTTCGTGAAATTTTCTAATTTATGAGAAAAAGCAGTGTACGGATATAGTGAAGAGTGTGCGCAATGCCAATTTTTTGCAATTCTGGGATGTTTTTTAAGTAAAAATAAGTCGACGTGTACATGATTTAGTGATATTTTAATTAAATGATAGTTATTTTGTGAATTTTATGTTTGTAGGAATTTGGTATACGTTTAAGTTGAAATAAACGTCTATGGAAATAATTTAAATATTTGATACTAAGTATTTGTAATGCTTGCGGTATGAATTCGTTGGTGACGTGTATAATGTAATACATGATTTAGAGGTAAAAGTTTTTGGATATTTTATTTATTTTATATGTGGAAATGTTAATATTTGTAAAGTGTAAATAACTGTTTCGCGATCAGGTAATTTCATATATTTTCTTTTTTACCGGGTTTAAAGATTGAGAAATTGTTATGTATTTTTTCGTGAAATTTTTCTAATTTATGAGAAAAATGCAGTGTACATGGATATAGTGAAAAGTGTGCGCAATGCCATTTTTTGTGTAATTCTGGGATGTTTTTTTTAAGTAAAAATAAGTCGACGTGTACATGGTTTATGTGTATGTGTTATTTTGAAAAACGCGTAAGGAGTATGGTATTGTGCACTTTTTCCCCAATTTTGCAGTGAATATTTGTCATGATTTAAGCAGTTTGTTTGTGTTTGATAAAATTTCTAGCATAATTTCTAGCATAATTCGGCAGTAGATTTTGGAAGAAGTGTTCAGTAGATAAGAAGAAAAGAAACATGTCTTTACTTCGTGAAGACAAAATGGACGGCGGGGGAAAAAATAGAGGGTTGCTGTAGGAGAGTTGGTTGCCAAATTTTCACCAAAAAATCGCCAAGTTACCATAATGTAAAGATAAACAAAAATATTACATAAAGTGGAATAGTAAATATTTTAATAATACATAGAAAATTGTAGAAGCAAAAAGTTCTAAATTAGATATCATCATGCTGTTAATTCGTAAACAGAATGAAGCTATTTGATTGCCTTATGTAAGATATTTTTGTGCAGATGTGAAATTTTTATTTTTAGAAACTGTATTTTATGGACAGTTCACAGAATGAGGTTAGTTTGTTTGATTTAGTTGATTGTGACGAATTTCTCAATTACAGATGCTTTTACAGAGCACTTTCTGTGGTAAATTGGTCTTATACACACAGAGCTTTTACACATGGAGAAAATTATAAAAATAGATAGCCTGTTTCACTAAGATGTAAATCCAGGACAGATTGCAGTGTTAAATGGTTTTAGCTATTAAATACTGCTAGGCAGGAATAAGGCCCCCCCCCAAAAAAAAAGAGAAGAAAAAAGAATATAGAAGGTGTGTTGACAACAACTGTTTTCACAGAACAATCTATTCATATTAATGTCTCGTGAAATTGTCCTCAAGATCTAATTTTTTTTCCTACTTATATTACCATATTCACTCATGAATTTTTCTTCTTCATATATTCCCCCCCCTTAACTTATTTAAAGGTTCTGAAAACTTTTTAAATATTCACATAATTTTAACTTTACCCAAGGTGTTATGGAAGTGAACTTCCTCAAATTTTAAAATGGATTGGTTTATGTTGTCTCTGTTTTTGTCTTACTAACTGTTTACTCTTGGATTTTGGGTGCTTTGGTTCTGATTGATAAAATGATTATAGGAAACAGGGATAGGGAGAAAACAGGGATATCTCATGCTCTTGATGGTTCTGAAAATCGCTGCATGGGGGATAAGAGAGGCTGAATGCTGATAAAGACGGTGATAATTGTGGTAAACTACACAGACAGCAGTTCTTGCAGTACTGAATGATTCAAGATCTAAAGAGTAGGAGTAGACAACAATAAGTGTAGGCAAAATTCAATAAATGCATAGAAATGAAGATACCTTATTAGATATTGTAATGTTAATATTACTTAAATAATGTTGGGATAATTACCTGTAATTTAGCTATAAATACTTTTCATTTGTTATGTTTTTACATATATTATTGTTGTATTATATGTATTCTGCAACTGCATCTCGGAAATTAAATTATTCACATAATTTTCCCTTTCAATTTTTATATGCTAAAATTAGGAAAAAAAAAAAAAAAAGAGAGAGAGAGAGAGAGAGGGAAATAGTATGTGAATAAACACAGTACTGGTTGATGTCCACATTCTAATAAACATCAAAATTTGGAATATGTACACATTTAAACAATTTTGTTTCAAAAAGAAAGCGATCCAATGTAGTTGAGTCTCAGCAAAGTTTTACAATGATGAATCTGAAACCTACTGAATATATTGTAAACAGGCCACTGTCAGTATTTGAAAGAATGAATACAATTAAAATTAATCATGACATTTGTGTCAAAAATATCTATTAGTTATAAAATTATATTTTCAGTTAGAAAATTATCATCTTAGTTTTATTCGTTGAAAAAGTATTTTTATTTCCATGCAAAAGTGATAAGTGATCTTCTTTGCACTAGACAAAGCATATTTAGTACTTGGACTCGGAGCATGCTTTCAATTCAGCCATCAAAGTACTCACCTTATAATGTTCCTCACTACTTTGGCTGTAATAAAATGTCGAGAAATGTAGTGAACTGAGTAGTGACTTATTGCTGAGTTCAAGTAGGCAGTGTAGACATGAGAAGGGTTAAAATACCCTTTGATCTACTCAGAAAAATGATAACAGATGGCATCTTTTCATACTTATGGGAAAGCCCCACTCGGACTTTGAAATCAGGATAAGAAAATAAGAAAGTAAACTAATTCTAGCTAAAATAGACTTAGCCAATGCTAGACACAAATATCTTGCATATTTGGTTTTTAATTTAAACTAGACAGCGATGATCAGCAGTTGCGTATACTACAGCCGAGCGTAATAGATTCAAGAATGAAATAGCCAGAAGGCAAACATACGCCACTAAGGACTCATAAGCACTATCTCAAAGTAAGTAGAACTTTCTATAAATACTACTACTCATTTGCATTCAACGTAATTCTAAAAACTCATTCTGGTAGGGAGTTGTAAGTGGGAAACAAGAATTGAAAGGAAAGGGTTTCAAAATTAAGACAACTGTTATAAAATTAACATACACCTTACAACCTGTCACCAAAAGGGGAAATTTGATGCTAATTGAGGAAAATTACAGCACTTTAACTCTTAATAATATATGACACCACCACAATTACCTAGCTAGGAACCTATACAGTGGAATCTTGGATCACTAACAGATTTTCCAAGTGAAAAATATCTTGAATGACGAACAATGTCTCGAAATACGAGCGAGTAAGTTGGGAACAAATTATACTCCAAAATGCATTTAATGCTGTGGAAGAAATGTTTTCTGAAGAAGACAGAAAGAAAGATATTCTTAATTATCTGATCCATGAAATTTATGCAAAATTTTGTGTATCAAAGGTGCAGAGGTTCGCAGAATATCACCTTGATAAAGCAAAATTTTGCGGATCAAAAGTGCGAATGTTCATAGAACATTATCACCTTGATAAAGCAGTAGCAGGCCATAGCATAAATATTTGCAATGACAATGGCATGTCTTTGGGAACATTTTAAAACACAGACAGAAACAAATCACACTGAACAAATTTTTACTGGGGCAAAAGCTCAGCATTTCTGAAGTAGGGACAAGGGATATTAAGAGAAAGAGGGGACAGTGTACTAGGAGGAAGGGGCACCCAGACCTACCTTGCTCGAGGCAGCCTTACACAATTAATCGCCCCAGCCCGTAGAGGCAGTCTAAGGAGGCATACCCCACAGTCAACCCAGGGAGACAATTTTTGTTTCACAAAGTCCGGATTTGATTCACAAGCCCGTGGTGGACGGCTACGTAACCAGGAGGACAATTTTTGTTTCAAAAAGTCTGGATTTGATTCACAAGCCAGTGGTGGACGGCTATGCATCCACTGAAAAAGCACTAGGACTAAATTCGACTGTCATTCAGTGTTGACCAAGGGCAGCCAAATCACCAAGAACAACCGTAGATATCAAACCATTTAACATCCCCACAACCAAGCGGCAGACAAGACAGTAGTGCGTAGGACTTCACAGGACTAGAGCCATTAATATAGTCCCTGCCGAGCCTGAACCAACCACTGAATAAATGATGGCTCTAGTTCTCTGAAGACAGTTTAATTACCCCAGAAGTCGAGGCTATCTAGATATGGATCTAGCCAGCACAATGGGATGGTTAGTCCCAGTTGGATTAGGACAGGAGAGGCTATGTGGTGCACGCCACTGCTAATAGCTATAACCACTCTCAAAAGGTCCAGATCAAACCCTGGGTTTCCACCCATAAAATAGTTGGTTCCAGAAATTGGATCTTTCCCAACTTTGAAGGTGCACAACTAACCCTGTCAGAGAAAGAGGGAAGGAAAAAATTCCCAGAAAGGCAGCAGCTACCTGATATTTTTACGGAATAGAATTTCCCTCTCAAGCAATAACATTTTACATCTTTGGTTTCTTCGCCATTTTTGACTTGCACTGTTAACTTTCCTTTATAGAAATATGGTAAAATTTAATTTGTCTTCCTTCCTATTTATTATATTTTTAGTAATGTATAATATTAATCAATATCAGCATATTTATCTGGATAAGATAACATTTAGGTAACTAGTGCTGTTATTTGAGAAGAAATAAGTGTGAAGCAATATTAAGTAATAAGGCTTAGAATGGAATTGACTGCTATCTACTTTTAGTAAAGGGTACCCAAGTTATACTATGAAATGGATAAAGTTTTCTTTCAATTTGAAATAACTTTCAAACAAAAATTGAATTTTCCTACTTATTAAAATGCTTTGCATGTTGAACCTAAATAAAATCTAGAGTTTTTAATCTTTATATCTCTGTAAATTAGACTGACATATTAAAATTATATTTACTTTTTCTTGTTACTCTGTAATGTAGTAATCTTGCTTATTTTATGTTTTCCTTTTCTTTTATTTCAACTATAAATATTTAAATCTTGTCTAATGATATTAATTTAAACAATTTTAATTTGAGTTATTTATATGTATGTATGTTGCAGAAACAAGTTGAGAACTTAAAGGTATACCTTACACACCCTGCCTATCTTCAGCATTTGAATAAAAGTTCCTTAAAGGGAAGAAATGCTTCTGAAGCTGGAATTGTGTATATATCTTGGCAAAAAGTTTTTAGCAAAATAAAAGATTATGTAGAACAGGTACTTTTAAGAGAATATGGACATTTTTTATTGTATATTTATTATAATTGAACATATTTGTTCCTTATTAATTCTTCCATATTTTTATCGAATAATAATTATTAAAATTAAAAAATCCAAATTCATTGATTTCTAATTAGAAACCAGTTCCCTTTTTTTTTAATTAACTATTTTACATTCTTAATAGATAATGTATTTTATTATCCACTTGATCATCAAATCAAGTTTCCTTTCACCATTTACATAGTGCATCATTAACAGAAAATTTAGACTAAGTATCCAGGTTTTTTTTTTTTTTTTTTTTTTTTGCATTACAATCAAACGCCAAAAAATACAGTTGGTTGATACAGTTTTGTATTGACTATTTTTGGACTAAAGAAGGCAGTATGAGAAATTTGAATTCATAGCAGTTGTATGTGTGGACAACAGATAAAATGGTAAAAAAAAGAAGTAAATTTGTAGAGAAATCTGAATCTTAACTCCCCCCTTTTTTTTTTGGTAAATGGAGGGGAAAAAATGAATGTAGGAAAAGTATAAATTTTAGAAATTATTATATGTTGTTAACAAATAAAATTTATTTCTTTTAGCATAAACATCAGAAAACTACTTTTTTGACAAAAATGTCTAATTGTCTTTTGCTTTTCAACCTAATTTTGTTTAAACTGTAAACAGTGCTTTTTAAGGTTTAAAATGTTTTTACATTTTGCATTGCTTCTAATTCGCGCAAAGAAAAAAGCTTTAACTTTTGTAAGGCTGCAAATTTTGGTAAACTTTAACATCATATCTTGTTGATTTTTATTTTTTATCTTACTGTATATTCTTAGGAATATTCAAAGTAACTCTGAAAGCCCTGAGCTAAGTAATCTCTGAAAATGAATAGAGCAAAGTAATTCAGAAGAAGAGTAAATTAATGAAAACTTTTATACAATATTTTAATACTATATTTATATTATATTTTAATTTTTTGGGGGTCCCCAAGAAAGTGGAGGCCCTAAGCTATAGCTTGCGTAACTTATATGTAAATCCTGCACTGATTATAAGTTGCAGATTAATAAGATTTTTAAGTCATGTTGGAGAAGTGTAGCTATGGGTCATATGTGAAGCCTTACGATGCTGGTAAAGTTCTAACAAAAAGTCCTAACAAAAAGTAATGAAAATAATAAATGCATACTTCATATTTTTTTGCTCAAACAATTTATATAGGAAATGCTGCATCAAGATCATGCAATATGCAATAAAATGGTAATTAGGTTCTGTGGTTAATTAATGCAGTAAAATGATAGTTATAAAGCTGTGATAAAATTGTGTGAATAAATAACATTATTAGAAAATTCATTCAGGATCAAGAATGGCAAATGATGGATGCAGGAAAGTTAGATCAAGAAGTATAAGAATTTTGATTTTTTTTTTTTTTTTTTTTTTTTTTTTTTTTTTTTTTTGTTAAAGACATACTACTTAAAGCTTTTTTTTTTCTAATTTGTTTACTTATTTATATGTTTTACTTATACATTATAATATTTATTTACTTGTTTTACTTCAATGTATTTTACGGTATGGGATTTGCCAAAGGATCAATAAGCAGGTATCCTTCTTCAAAAAAGAGATTCTTCACAAAGAAAGATTGTGCTTAAATAACCACCTCATACCATTCAAGCTATACAACTTCTCTAATGCCAAGAAGCAAAATCACATGATTTGTTGGATCATGTATTCTTTTCATTATATTGCCAGTTCGTTTCTATATGGTGCCATGAGTTAACATTAATTGAATTTTGTGAATAAAAGCTTGGTTCAAAGGCGTACTACCCATCTGGAACTAAGATCCATCTTAATTAAGACACAATAACACGCCGAATAAATACTAATTCAGAAGTCAAACAACAAAAATCAGCGTTAATTTACAAAATTTTCACAGGACTAGTTTCGATGGTTTTACCGAACCATCATCTTCAGCTGCAAAACCGCAAATGAACAAGATAGGAAATAATGTTTAGATAAGATAAGAAAGCCTGGACAAGAATAAGCAAGTGGTGCCATCTGTTGGCAAAACCAGAAATTAAAACATAATTTCTCTAAAAGCCGAAGGCAATTTGGATTGGAATTAGGATCGTTAACTAGAACAGAAAGATTTTTATGAATGTGAAATGCCTCTAGAAAAATCAGGTCTCAGTGGAAGATGTTTTTTGAATAATTTTGGCAGCAAAAATTGAAAGTGTGATTTTCGGACCAACAATGTTGAGCAACAGAGACTTCTGTGTTTTCCTTTTTCTAACATGCCTCATGTTCTTTGACACGAAATTTTAAGGCTCTCTTAGTTTGGCCATGTAAATTAAAAACCGCACTGGCAAGGAATCCTAAAATACCCAGGAATTCATATCCGGAATGGGGTCTTGCGTATAGAAGTTGGAATTTATTGATGGGAGAGTAAACAACCGAAAGTTAAAGTTCTGCAAAAATGTGCAACTTATAGCTAATTGATGGAAAGAAGGGAATGACAACAGAATTTTATAATCTCCTAAAATAGAGTGGGTTTTAGTGTGTTGAGATGAGAATTTTTAACTGCTTGATTAATATGTTGGGTGAAAAAGCCCCTGTCAATAGCTATTGCTTTTAAATAATTAGTTCTTCATCAAGGGCTGTTTGGAGGAGCAAACTTGAAGAGCACGGAAAACATAGGAATAAAATAAGCTACTTTGTTTAGTCGGATGACATGATTTAAAGTGTGGTGGAAGGCAAACCGATGAAGGTTACGGTAAACTGTAGTACTGAAGTTGGATGTGTTACGTGTGACCAGAATGTCGAAACGGAAGAGAATTGCAAGTCTCAAGTTCAAAAGTGAACTGAATAGCAGGATCAATAGAATTCATTGTTGAAGAACTCTATTTAAATCATCTTTATTACCTTGAAACAGGGTAAAAGATCGTTACGTAGCGGAACCATGCCGGGAAGTTTAAAGTTCAAACAATTTTGATCATAATAATGCATGTAGATATCAGCCAGGATGGGACTGAGGGGGCTTCCCATGGCTAACCTCAGTTTGCTTGTAATATTTATTTGGAAACAAAAATGTGTTTGTTTCAACAGAGTTGAGTGAGAGAAATTAGCTCATCAATTCGATGCAAGAGAAATGAAATTCGCGAAGTCTGGTTCTAGACTCTTAATGCACCCTCCACTGGGACATTGGGAATAATGATTTTCATCAAAAGAAACATGAGTAAATTACGAGGAGAAATGTTTTTAACCTTTTTTACAAACTCAATTGAATTTTTATGGTGTAAATGTTATTGTCTAATAGAGTGGAAAATCTAGTGGAAATTCATAAAGTGGTATTCCTTTCCGCCCTATTGTATCAAATTTAGGTTCTGCCTCGTATCCATTAGCTAATAGTTTAGTTTCTAGATTTTCCACTCTATTAGACATAACTTTACACCATAAAAAATTCAATTGAGTTTGTAAAAGGTTAAAAACATTTCTCCTCGTAATTACTCATGGTTCTTTTGATGTAAAATCATTATTCACCAATGTCCCAGTGGAGGGTGCATTAAGAGTCTAGAAACCAGACTTCGCGAATTTCATTTCTCTTGTATCGAAATTGATGAGCTAATTTCTCTCACTCAACTCTGTTGAAACAAACACTTTTGTTTTCCAAAATAATATTACAAGCAAACTTAGGGATTAGCCATGGGAAGCCCCTCAGTCCCATCCTGGATGATCTACATGCATTATTATGAATCAAAATTGTTTGAAACTTTAAACTCCCGGCATGGTTCCGCACGTAGACGATACTTTTACCCTGTTTCAAGGTAATAAGATGATTAAATAGAGTTCTTTCAACAATGAATTCTATTGATCCTGCTATTCAGTTCACTTTGAACTTGAGACTGCAATTCTCTTCCGTTTCTCGAATTTTGGTAACGTAACACATCCAATTCAGTACTACGGTTACCGTAAACCTCATAGGTTGCCTTCCACCACACTTTAAATCATGTCATCCGAATAAACAAAAGTTAGCTCATTTTTATTCCTATGTTTTCCGTGCTCTTCAAGTTTGCTCCTCCAAACTAGCCCCTGATGAAGAAACTAAATTATTTAAAAGCAATAGCTATGACAGGGGCTTTTTCACCAACATTATTATCAAGCATTAAAAAATTCTCATCTCAACACACTAAAGCCACACTTTATTTTAGGAGATTATAAAATTCTGTTGTCACTCCCTTCTTTCCATCAATTAGCTATAAAGTTGCACATATTTTGCAGAAATTTAACTTTTCGGGGTTGTTTACTCACCATCAATAAAATTCCAACTTCTATACTCAAGGACCCATTCCCGGTATGAATTCCTGGGGGTATTTATAGGATCCTGCCAGTGCGGTTTAATTTACATTGGCAAACTAAGAGACCTTTAAATTTCTCGTCAAAGAACATGAGCATAGGTTAGAAAAAAGGAAACACAGAAGTCTTCTGTTGCTCAACATTGTTGGTCCGAAAATCACACTTTCAATTTTTCTGCTGCCAAAATTATTCAAAAAATCTTCCATTGGAGAACTGGATTTTCTAGAGGCATTTCACTTCATAAAAACTTCTGTTCTAGTTAACGATCCTAATCCAATCCAAATTTGCCTTCGGCTTAGAGAAAGTAGGTTTTAATTCTGGTTTCGCCAACAATGGCGCCACTTGCTTATTCTTGTCCAGGCTTTCTATATTATCTAAACATTATTTCCTATCTTGTTCATTTGCGGTTTGCAGCGAAGATGATGGTTCGGTAAATTCATCGAAACTAGTCCTGTGAAAATTTTGTAAATTAACGCTGATTTTTGTTGTTTGACTTCTGAATTAGTAAGATCCATCTACAAGCTTTTTAACCGCAACGACTTTGATATACAGTAATGGAGGAGAAATTACTGTGGCTGCTGGCAGCAGACTTTCCCTCCAATTGATCCTCGTTAAAGGATTTAGAATATACTCTTTCTAATTCCGGGGTCCCAAAAGAGTCTTGTATTGTTATTTTTCGTCTCTACCTTCCCGTTCTGGGAGTGCGTAATTTACGCACCTGCTGCTTTCTTGGATGTGGTAGCCATTTCTCAGGCTCCCTCTCCAGAATCAAACCCTGATTTCCCACCACCCGTTACAACCATGGTAGGCGTTTAACCTACCATCAACAGTTGATAAGGATGACACTTGAAAGATAAGTCGTTGGGATGAGTGCATGTGATCTGCCCAAAGTTATGCGAAGTCACATAATACGGACATGAGGTCTGATTGGTTTTTTTCTTAATAAAAGCACTCGTCCCCACAGTGTCGGAGCTCTACTGCATGTATTAGCTGTAGAATTGGCGACAGTTATCCAAGTAATAAGGTACTATCCAAGGAACCATAACTGATTTGATAAGCCATTTGTGGTTTTCCCTCAATACGGCATGCACTTAGACATGCACTGCTTAATCTTCGAGACAAGCGTATGATTACTGGTAGGATCAACTAGGTAGTTTTACAAGTTCATAGAATGTTCGAGCTGCATAGAATTCGAATACGCCGGTGATAGTACACATCTTGGAAATGCGCTGGGTCCATTGTCCAACTGAAGGCTCCCTCTTTTATTTCACATGCACGGAATTTTATCTCATGCTTTCAGTAAAAGTTCAAAACTCGGTATGTTCTCCATTGCATCAGCTCTGGGAAATGAGCCTTCGTAGGTATGTTCAAATGAATCATAACACATTGATTGATTGGAATAATTATATGACAGAGGTATGGGCTGTCTCTTTCTAACGTTAAGATTGATGGTCACCACAAAATTATAGAAATTAGTAAAAGCTTTTTTACAAAAAGAAGAAAATTCCCACAGTGGGTGTTCAAATAATTTTATTACAAAATTGGAGATTGTTGCTTTGTTGCTGTTCCTAATCATTCCATTTCATCAATGAAAGGCATGGAGAGAGAAATAAGCCAATATAGCACTGAAAAATATGTTTTGAAAAAGTATTAGAATTTCAAGTATAGAAGTAATAGTTACGAAATATTTCATTTTAAATTTAAGTGTATAGGTTAATAAATGTCAGTGACTTTATTTTACTCAATCTGATGTAATCACTGGCCACACTTAGTATTACTTCTTATAAATAATGTAAACAGGATTCGAATAAATATGGTAATTAATTGGACTTGTGGAGTCTAAAACAGAAAATGTACAGTTTCAGGCCATTTGTAGCATACTTTCAGGTCATACATAGCACATTTTAAATGCACAATTTCATGCCAATTACACTAGTCTTATTTGAATTAAATTACTTTAGTTATATGATTTACAGCAAACCATCTGAAATGTTAGTTAGCTTTATAATCTTGTCAGTTATGGTTTACATATCTATAAGAATTTAAGAATTTGTATTCTTACCTATCTGTCGTTCTAGCAAAGTACTCCTTTTATGATTGAAGCATTTTATGCTTGCTTCTTTTCTTAAATTATAGTAGATTATGAATTCTTTAATTATTGTAATCTTTATGCAGGAATGCCAACGACTTAAAGATCGAGAAAGGTCTTCAGAAACCCTCTCTGCAACAGTTAGAGAGAATATTTGCAAAGAAAGACGGCTATGCCTGAGTTTGTTTCGCTGTTTTACAAAAGCATTAACAATAAGTACGTTTAGTATTTTGCATTTATTCTGAAAATTTATTATTTTGCAATTTATAGCATACATATGTAATGTATTATATATATTTGGAGTGGGCACACTTGATGTCAGTTGGAGCCTTATGTTAGAATTTAGAAATTTAAAAAGGCAAAATTATATATTTATGTTATTTTAAAATTGTAAATTAATTTTTGGATTGTAAGAAAAGTTTCAAATAAATTATTACCGTATTTGACGGCATATAAGACGCACTTTTTTTCCTAAATTTGGTCTCAAAAAAGTTACCAGCATCTTATATGTGAAGGACATAGGTTAACTTAAATACTGAATGCTATTTTTAGCCTGGATAAAGGTCTAGAGACACATAACTTTTTCTACATCTGCCATAATTATTTTGCGCATGCGTGAAATATCTGTTGTCAAAAAGCGCCAAAGCTCGAAGCTGATGTCGAAGTTCGAACAAGTTCGATGGTCACATTACATCTATGGAGCCTTTCCTTCTTTACATAGACTTTCTTTGACTCAGCCGACACACGTATCGGTATTACTCTGTATAAACGTGTCGGTATCGGTGCTTAAAACTATTTGTTTAAAAAAAAATACCCTGGAAAATATGACTACAGGAAACAAGAGATTAAGCTATACAATTCAGTATAAACTAAGATCATTAAATTATGCCAAAGTGCATCGAAACAGAGCAGCAGTAAAACATTTCGGTCCACCACTTACCGAAAAAATGATACGTACTTGGCGACTGCAGGAAGATCAACTGAAGACTGCTAAAAAACAAAAACATAACCTTCGATGCCCAGCTCCATCTTGACCTGAAGCATATTTCATGATAGGCAACGTTTTCCTTGAATCTGTGTTTTTTGTTCTTTCTGCTTTATTTTGATTGCTTGTCGTTCATTCATTTATGTATTATTTAAATTTGCATATCATGTTCAAAATAGCTTGCCGTTTGTTAATTTTCCTTAATAAAAATATGTCTGGTAATTGCATTCAACGATTGTTTATTTGGCTTTTACGAAACGTGAGAACTAAAAGAGACCACAATAACTTAACTTTTTTTCCTTGTGTGTGGCCTTCTAAATAAGGGTGCATCTTATATGCCGCCAAATATGGTATTTCACATTTTTAAATAAATGTTATTTATAAGCATACAAATAACTCTTGCTGCTCTTGTATTGTATTTAGAAAAATATGTGTCTCTATGATAAACAAATTATCTATGGCATACTGAATTTTTTTTTGTAGAAAAGTACCAGTCCCTTTTTATTACAATTTTCTGCTGATTTTAGTAAGAATAATTTTGAATTGGGACAAGAAATAGTGATCTTTTTAATAACAGAAAAGGCTTTTAATTTGAATGAAAAATGAAACTGTAATTAAAAAAAAAAAAAAAAAAAAGCAGTTTTTTGTTTACTCCCAACCCAGACCCTTTGGAAAGAAATATTTATATCTGGAGACAGCTACTGTGAAACTGAAATCAAAACACTGTAATTGTTTCAAAATAACCTCTCCTCTTTTTTTGTGTAAAAGCACAGTTTTTACACAAAAGTATGGAAATTTCTAGAAGGTTTAGTTCGTTGGACAACTAATGTGAGCACTAACATATGGAGATTAAATCTTAAATCACTTAATTATTGTAGTATATATGATCTGGATTAATAAATAAGGTATGTTTTTTCCCCAGTCCAAGATATAACCATTTTTAATGTAATTATTCATTATTCCACTATTCCTGTTAGCTCTAAAAATACCCTTTGTGAGTTCTACAAATAGCAGTAAATCAATAAAACATAATTATTTGCTTTCTGTTAATTACTTTGGCAATTTATTCACAGCACATATCCTTGAGTTACAATATGTATACTCTAATTTTAAAAGTAAAATTATTGCTTTTGACAGCAAGAGCTGTTTTTAACAAGCTAAAGTTCCACATCTATCTTAAACATAGTTTGTTCTTGCTTAGCATATATCATAAAATCTGGAAGTAAATGGCATTTTGAATTATATAAGTTTAAATAATTAGTAATTAAGTAATTCATTCAAAGTTGAAAGTTTATAATTTTAATTTTTAAAATTCTTAGGAGCATAAAGTATTTTCTATGGAAAATGCAAATTTTATTAACTTCATTATTATTAATATCAACATGCATTTCTATTTTGTGCTGTAGAATTCTATCTTGTATATAACGGAAAAGCATATTTTACTTTTACTTTAATTATCTAATTGCACAATTTCAATATCAGTTATATTTTAATATCAGTTAGTTTTAAATGGTTTTGTAGCATTTGTCAGTTTTGATAATTTAATATTACTTATGGTGATTGGCCAAAATATTATTATGAAATAGAAAATCTTCATGAATTTGCATGCATGTGTAAGTTGGTATTTTGAGCCCACTTAATTTTTTTTTCTTTTTTTTTTTTTTTCTTTTGGCAGGTGAGCAATATGAAATGGCACATCCATTGATGCTTCATATTTTAGCTGTCCTACATGAATATTATACTGAACTTACTTTCCGTAATGAATATTCAAATGTTCTACTCAAATGCATTTTAAATGATCCATTTATGTGCCTGAAAATTCCAGCAGAAAAATTTGATGGTAAGTTTATTACTAAATTAAAATTTTGTTATTTATCCTCAGCTGACCAGATATACCTATTCACCTGTTCTTGAGTTCTCAGTATGAGATTTTTTTAGTATTTTTTAGGGTATTGCATAGTAATAAGGCATCTTGGAAGCTATACCAGAATAAAAAAGGATATACTTTTAGCCATTGATGGGAATGTTTTCTGCTGATATTTATAGGAAAAGAAAAAATATTTTTTTTACCATTTTGTATAATTAAGATTATTGCTATTTCAGGGAAGAATACAGTACTTCATACTAATGGAAGAAGGTATTTATCATAAAATAAGAATTTATTAAGACTACTGTACTTATAATGAAGGATTTCGTAGCAAAATACGAGAGTAATGATTTAAACTGTAATCTTTTTGAGTTCAGTATTTAGTTCCTCAAACATTTTTCATTCTCTTTTTATTAAATGGATGCTTTAGAATTATGATACAGTACAAAGTCTTTAATCCAGACTCGTCAGGACTTCGGTGATTCCGGATTAGGGGTTTTTCCGGATTACAGATCATCAATTAAAATCTGGTAAGATGGCATGCAGAAATTATAAAATTAAAAATATGAAACCGTAATTTATGAAATAAAGAGCAATTGGGATCTAAAGGGTATAAAAAAAAGCGCTTGATATTTATTTGTTTAATATATTAAACATTTTTTTCAATGTAAGTTGTTTAAGTTACTTCGTTTTATGTGCTAATACTTTCTCTTAATTCTATAAACAGATATAATTTCTTGTTCAGTTTACAAGTTCCTGTTCAAGTCCTGTAATGCTATGCCGAGAATACCGACTAACTTGTCAATCAAATTTTTATTTTCAATAACCTCTCTGTCACTTTCTTCATGTCTTTATCCATTTTTTGCAGCAATTCCACTTTTGTTGATGGACATCGAAACATGCTTCGCTTTGTCCTTTGACAGCCCAGAATCGAAAACTCTTTTTGACTAATCGAAAATTCAAGCTTACTTTTATAAAATTGCTCTCACAGTCTGCAAAAAATAAGAAAGCGGGATCCATTCAAAGATTAAAGAACAACGCAATCTGCAACATTAACTGAAATAGATAATTAGATAATTTTAGCCTAGCTTATACCGTTCGTTATACATTAAACGTGCATGCATAAACATATTATGTGCATGCGTAAAGGTGTTATGCACATGCGTAAACGTGTTATATGTTTACGCATGCGTAGAAAGTTTGTAGCTTTGACGTCTGGATTATAGATCATTCTGGATTATGGACGTCCGAATTAAAGACTTAATTACTGTATTCAGTTTCCCTAAGAATTACTCTTTATTTCATCTGCCATTTTTTAAGGACATCTGAAAGGTGCTTATTGTTTTTGGTAAGGGAATTTTGTCTCCTGGCAAAATAAAAGGTATTGCCACATGAAAAAAAATATTTATTAAATATTTATTGAAGGAAATGTTTATTAAATATGCAAGTAAGTGCTTATGTCATGATAATTTTTGATGAATTCATATCATATAGCATGTTAACATTCTGCATTAATTTTAACAGCTGACTTTAAATATATAATTTCCTGTTCTATATTTTGAATGCTAGAGCTTAATTTTTAATCTGTTATTTACAGAAACTGCTTAAAACTGTTGCAGGAATAAACTGGAATTGTCATATGTAGGTTTTAAAAATGTTCTAATAAATCTATTTTTAAAATTTTTAAATCCCCCTTTTTTTTTTACTTTTTCACAACTTTAATTATAAATTCTGCAAGGCATTAGACTAATATGAAAAATTTCAGACTGTAGCTAGGTGCCCCAAGATACACTGAACCTAAAACTAATGAAATCTCCTTTGTGTGAAATCCTCTCTTTATGTTGTGTATTTGTCTATCTTTATTTTGTGTATTTGTGATTTATCTTAAGCCACCTTATATAACATCATCTTACAGTTCATTTGTTTAGGGTTAGTTTATCTTGGATCACCCTGTATTTAATTTTTTTCAATCACATATTGTATAAAATTTACCCCAAATTCATCATTTATAATTATTACTTAATTATGTAAATATGTTTTGCCCATTATTGGCATGACTGGCGAATTCTATAATTGGGCAATGTATTTGACTCGGGTTAAAATTCTAGAGGTTAAGCTGGTTGCGTGGATGCTTTTATGATTTTCTTCATTTGTCATGTGAATGCAAGCCATTAACAATAGCGATTCATTTTTCTATCAAATATTATAAAAAGTTACTGAAGAATTAACAAATATTGAATAGAATTATTCCATTTGTTATTTTATTCCTTGTGATTTAAATCATTGCTAGTTCTTAATCACAAGGAGTTTTATAATGGTGCTGCTATACAGAACCTTCTTGTTAAGTAAAGTTCTTGTTAACTTAAGTAAAATTTAAAAGCACTATAATATTAAATAATATTGAATTTTTGTAAGACTCTCCCCCCCCCAGAAAGTATGATTGATTTGAGAAAAATGACTGAAAATGCATAGCAGCTAATATTTTTTAAATTGTGCAAAATAGTTTTGGTACTTCTTTGTTATAGTGGCCTCCAACCATATTTGGCAATTTTAGATTTGGGCCTGGATCTCAGCTATAATTTTCCCAAGCTTGTGAAGTACAGATGTAAAAATAAATAACATAATATATAATAATAATACTCACACATGGTTTCCTAAGAATATTTTTAAGAATCCTTATCTTATTATTATTTTATCACACATAATTGTTCAGGTTAACTACAGCACTTTAACACACATTAAGCATTTCATAGACATCAGCTTCTCTTCCCAAGAATATATAAAGCTAATAGTGACGAAAAAATATTCTGGAATCGCTCAGCTAATTTCCAACACGGAGGCCCTTCTTCCTGTTGCAGTTTTTAATGCTGCACTTCCAAATGGTTTTGTTGTTAACACAAAGTTTCATGCTTTGGCCATTTGTTTTACTTGTTTGACAGGTAAGAGACCTCTTTCTTAAAAAAAATGATATGCCATCTACCTCATTACTTGGTAAATTAAAGACTGTTAATGTCATATTCACATACACACACACACAGAGAGAGAGAGAGAGGGGAAAAAAAGAGGGGGAAAAAGACCAATGAATATATTTTTAAATAAACAATGCAAATTCGAAAACCTCATCAAGAATGGATAATGTAAGAACATGTGGCGAAACAAAAAATGTAACAGCTTGCTAATATACGGTTACGTGGCGAGCAGTGCAGGATATACGTATAAGCTACACAAGCTATAGCTTAGGGCCCTCCAAAGAACTTAAAATATAGTATAACAGACTTATAAAGGGCTCCGTATCTCAAATAGCTTAGGGTCTTATCAAGTCTAAATCCGGCTCTGTGGCGAGGTATGAGAACATGCAGCCAGATTTTGGCGAGGTATCTTGGTTGATTGGCGATTCTATCTCGTTACTATAACAAAGAATTTCCATAATTTTAAATAATTACATGTTTGGGATGACAATTAAAAATTTAAGATGATTTGCATTGCTTACCAAAAAATTATAAGAATGAAAGCTTTGGCAGGATGCTTAGTAAAGCACTTAATGACCAGCATTTCTTGTTATTGTGAACATATGCGGTTTTATGGCATTTTTGCTTTTATTTATAGTAATCACATTGTAATAAGCAACTAAAAATAAATCACAGCTGTTATTCCCACTAATATGCTTTGATGCCCAATTACTATGCACTTGGTTTTGCCAAAAATAGCATACTCAAAAAGCAAATACTTTTTACCCACTCTGCAAGTAATTACAAGAGGAGAGCATCTTCTTTGCTTTTAGTGAATCAAGAATTTAGTCATTTAACTGGATTTGTTTTTACTTCCTTCCACAAAGTAAAGGAAGTATTGTAATTGCAATGGATTTGGCTATTAGGTTTTCAATGGAAATATCCATTTTGACCATTCTTTAATTCATTCATTCATTCATTCATTTTTTGTGATGTCTGTATGCACAAGCAGAATAAAGGACTCTTTATTCCAAATCAGATTGTAAACGACATCTGTATATGCATATGTATTCTGCAAAACTCAAAAATGATCAGCCATAGAACACTGAAATTTATAATATGGGACTGCTGTAATATCTAGTTATGTACCTCTGTTTTTAATTGCAAATGGCAACACCAAAAGTGTGTGTGTGCATATATATAAATAACCATACACTTACCTGCCTTAAAAGTCCATACCCATACTCTATTTTCACAATCATTCTTTGTAGGCATATACTTCTGTTACAAAAGTGTTTTCAATGATGAAAATATTCATATTTTGGCAAAGTCAGTTAAAAAAAATACTTTTGGACAAATAATGAACTTTTAATGTATAGTCTCTTGGCTCCTATACTTATGTCTGGGAAAGTTTTATAATTATTATAAAAAAATAAAAGTACAAGAAGTTTGACTCACATTTGACAAAAAATGACTACGATATTTAATTTCAAACTTTGCAGTTTTAGATGTCATTTTCAACTTTCCTTGAGGTATATTTTAAGAATAATCCGAGAAAATAAATTTAAATTAATTACAGCAAAAAGTATGTATAATTTATTAGGCCATACAGGGGAGGTCATGCGGGGTTCATATCAGAGTTTTTAATATTACATTATTTTGATAGTCAATTTTCTTAGCATATATATGTAATAATTTTGAGTGGTGGAGTTTGAGTGGTGGTAATTAGTGGTGACTGAGTGGAAAGACAAACAGGTGACACCAACAGGAATGAATTTTGAAGAAGTTCCAATTTTTATTTCATGCGTAAAAAAACCATTGTAGTAAATATTTATGCAATCATAATAAAATACAGTAAATCCTATGTACTCTGATTTTTTAAAAGAAATGACCTAGGTATTTAGGAAGCGAAGCAGCATGAAGATGTTAGCAAGGTAGAAGGTAGCAAAAGAATGACATAATTAATTCACCAGTGGTATTTATACTAAGTATAAGTACAGCTAATCTGTGACTGGTTAATTTTAGTTTTAGTTGCTCTTTTTGGGTAGCAGTATATAACATGGAAGGGTCTCAAATTTGGGAGAATAAGATGAATTTAGGGTAAGAGCAACAAATCTAGAATGTTAATTTTGAGGTCACCAATTATTCTTAAGGCAGTTATTGTATTTTCTTATATCTTACACACACACATATGTATATATATATATATTAAAATACTGATTTAAAATTTTAATAATTCATGGTGTTAATTGAATTTCTGTTCCTTGGAGATGGTATATAAAAAGTTTTCTAATTATAAATTATTGCTTTATATGTATATAGATGTAATAAAAACAAAGTCAGAAGTGAATGACCAGCAGGAATTTAGATAGAAGTGTTGATCCATAATGAATAGGAAATTGGAGGTGAAAGCAGATTGAATCTTTATTTTTTATTTCAGCAAACATGTTGTGGCCAGAAACAAGTTGGCACATTAAATGTGCCTTTTCCAAAAAGTTTACATTTTAGATAAATTTGCAGTAAGATAGAAGAAGCAGACAGACAACAGTCTAGATAGGCCAAAGTGTTGAAAGCGAGTGCATTATGTTCAAGGTGAAATCTTAGTTCAGAACGAGTTAGTTTTGTTCTCAATACGTTTTGATTGGATAGTTAATATTACTGTAGTTTGAATATTACTGATTGGATAGTTGTTTTAATTCCATTTACATTATCAGATTTATGTAAGAGTCATATGACATGGATTAATCTAGAAATGACACAGTGCAGTGAGAGGTTACTATTTTTAGAATTGAGAAGGGAAATTTACATTGCTAATTTAATCGTATATTCTTTATTTTTTTTATATATATATGCTTATCTTTATATGCTAAAATTATATAAATTTTCATGGGAAATTGTTGAAAAATTAATTCATTAAAATTGCTCTTATCTGTTGGAAAAAGAAAAGTTTTTTTTATAATGAAATAATTTACTTGTGTTAAATAATGCATTCACTTTGACATTATTTGAAATGATACTGATAGTTACCTTGTGCTGATTACCACATTTCAAAATTTTTAAAATTACATTAGAATTTAAAATTTATTTTATTGATTTAGATGCTATATGGATTTATTGCAAGATCATAAAAAAGTTTCCCCGAAGTAATGATCGAGGCATTAGTTCCCAAGTCCTTCATGATTTGCTTGCTGTAAGATATAATATGGGCCATACAGATGCTTCTAAAATACTTAGCTTTTTTACCCATATGTTTCAAACCTTGAAGTAAGTTTCTAACAGTTTGAGTATCTTTAATTTGTTTTTCATTAACCATTTTATATTTATGTGATGACAAAGATGAAAGGAGGACAAATCTTTCTCCAGCTTTTTTTTAAAAAAATGTTACTGAAATTACCTTATGCAAATGAGAACATAAAGTTTTTATTTGATAGCATTTTGATTGTACATATAGTGTTTTATGTCCAGGGTATGATCTAGCTATGTGAATATGAAAGTACTCATTATATGGGCACATTTTCAAATTTGTCTATGAAATATATGGTATGTATATTGATGTTATCAGTATTCACATTGTGGAGATTTATCTATTTTGACTAATGTTTAATTTTTAGTTGAAAGCAATTTTCCTTTCAGTCTCATTTTCACCAACAATTTCCTGCCAGAATGCTATTCAGATTGCATGCATGTATTCAAATTAAGGTAGAAAGAAGTGCCGTTTAAGCGAAGCTTTTGGAAGGTGATTTTAGAGCATGTTATGCTTGGTTGAAGGCCATGCTCTTACATTGATGTAGTAGCGATTTGATTCTGTGGCACTAAGTGCTTCTAACCAATTAGTCTTGTTCCCACCGACTTCCTAAAGTCAGAGCCTTCCTTTGCATTAATTTATCCTGTGAGTTCATTAAGCTGTTTGAGTTAAGCTGAAAGTGTTTACTTTATGTGCGCCCAAGTGGGGCCATCTATTCAACTATATGTGATTGAGTAAAGGGTCTTTACACCCTTCTTCTGACTTTCCTGTTGCCTAAGACCTTAGGATGCAGTCTTTTCAGAGCATGTTATTTTATGTTGCTTAAAAATACAAGACTGTATAACATATTTATCTGAAGAAAATGCCATAATATTGACAGGAGTTAAAAGTAAGAAGTTGAATGCCTTTATATTAAAGACCCTTGCATCTTTTCTATTATTTTGGAAGGCCTAATGACAGGTTTTGAAGGACACATGTAAAAATCATTATGGAATAAAGCCTGCCAAAAAATGATGGTCCATATGATTTTACTGTACACTATTTCTATTATAAAATTTTTCTAAAAGTCATCAGTTTCAGCCCTGTTGTGTCATAATGTATTACATTCTTAACATGCTGAAGCCAAATTTCTTTACATAATAAGTAGCAAACTTTTGCTTGAAAGAAATCTAATTTTCTTTATCAATGAATCAAGTTACTTTAGTGTAGGGGAAGAATGTCTTTGCAACAGACTGAACATTTTAAGTTATACAGTTGTTCTGCAAAGCAGAATTTTATCACTCTTATGTATACTTTGAAGTTTATAGAATTTGAACTTTTTTGGTAGCATAAACTAGTATCAAACTCCTAACAGATTTGGTGCGAATTATGAAGTAACAACATGTAAGGAAGTAACTGTACCTGAAGTAGCAAATGAGTTCTTGAAAATGTTTAAAATAACTGTTTTTTAAAAAAATAACTTGAACATAAATGCACTTCTTGTGCTTGACAAGATTAGCCACCACTTGTGACGATGTAACAGTCAAATTCAAATTTAAAACTAAACCTAGTAGTTAAAGACTACTCAATTGATTTTAAGTTGGGTCAAAACTTCTCACTGGTATAACAGTTAAATGTTAGCCGCTATAGTGCAATCCTGAAGAATTACTATCTTATATCAAAATGGTGAATCTTAGTAACGTGTCCTCGAGAGCCAGAAGCACGCCCTGTCTTGGAATCCGAAGCTCTCAACTTGAATACTCTCTAACACATATAAATCTCTGGTGAGGAAATGGAAAAGGAGAAGTAATAGTAAAGGCTAAAATTATAAATAACTGGTTAATTAAAATAATATTAACCTCACAAATTAAGTTTTATTTTTTTTATATTAAAGCTGAGCCATTTCTTAACAGAAGTTTGTAAATTGACTTTTTTCCCACTTGAAATTATAATTATGTACTTGATTTTCTCTTCAGGTCAGAAAAAGCAAGTTTATTTCATGAAAATCTGCTTCGATGTTTATTGGTAGTAAGTAAGGCTTTGGGAAGTGACTACCATATACGCTTATGTGAGTTAGGAGAATCTATTCTTTTGCCTCTATTGGATCTATGGAAAACAAGACCTTCTGAAACATGCCAGGTTAGTTATTGTTATAGTGGATCTTAGTGATTGTTAATAGTGATAGCACTAATAACTATTAGTATTTTATGTTTTTATTAAGTTATGATAAATACGGGTAGATGCAAAGATAATAATAATAAATTTGCATTTATAATTGTTTGCTATAATTTGCATTTGTAGAAGTTATTTTGATTTTCTAAATAGGCTTTGTTAAAGACTGAAGTTAAGAAAAGAGGGGAGGACATTGCATTAATATTTGTTTTATCTATGTGGATGTTTGTGAATATGAATTTGAAGGGAGTATTAAAGTAATTTTTTTTTTAAAAATCTTCGACTACCTTTTAATTGTTTAAATAAATAACAATTAGAGAACTTGAAAACAGAACGAAAAAAAAATTAATTTTAATTATATTTAAGATCTGAAAAACAATAGAGTGGCCATTTCACCAATGACAAATAGTTTTTGGGAACAATATAAGAGGCACTACACAATCTCTTCCCAGAGAAAATAATTAGGACACATTATATTTTAAATGAGGTAGAAACTTGACTGTTCTTCAACTGCATGTAGTTGAAGCAGTTGTAGTTTAAGGATCATTCATAGGCAAGATCTCCTTCGGAAGTTTGCGCTTTGCAATAAGTAGATAGACATGGAAGTTTCCAATCACTGTTCTGTGTTTTCATTTAAAATAAAAATGGTTTAGTCTATCAATTGATATTCTTTTGGCAGTTCCATTAATTTCTCTTTTGAAGTAATTTGGTGCTTGTATTGTATAACAGAAAAAAACCCCAAAAATAGTGAACATTAAATTGTCACGTTATTGAATACAAAAACATGCAGGCAATTCGAAAGGTGCTATGAAATAAAGTTGGTTTTATTGCCATGAGTATCGTTGTCGAAGGTTTCATGCCATGTATAGCACTTCTGAACAAAATCTGAATGTGTGACATTAGAAGTTTTGGTAACAAACTCTCCAGATAAACAGAGGAAAATTCCATAAAAAGGAGCTCAGCATACCTTCTTTCACAGTGGTGTGTAATCCAAGAAGAACAAATGGTAAAGCATCTATCCAAGATTTTATTTGCTGTAAGAGGCATTTCAAGCTGGGTTTTATAGTTCTGTGCTGCCGTTAAATTAATCCATTTGATTGTGGATCGTATGTAATAGTCCTAGTGGTCTGAAAGGCAAAATGTTTTCTCAAAGATAAGAAAAGCTGACTTTCAAACTGTCATCCTTGGTCAGAGCTAATATAATGAGGCATTCTGAAATGACATATCCAGGTTGAAATCATGCCTTTTACAACTGTTGCTGCCTGTTGATCTGTTATAAAAAGTGCTTCAACACATCTTGAAAAACGATCAGTCATCGTTATCAAATATCTGAAGCTTTGGCCTGCTCATAAGGGTCCAATAATATCAATGTGGATAAACTGAAAACATTCGAGTTGAATTTTAAAATCACTTACAACTGATTGTGTATGTTTTTGAACTTTAGATCGTTGACATTCCAGACATGCTCGACACCATAATTGACAATTGTTATTGATTAGTTTTTCTGTTGCTTCTAATCCCTGGGTGTGATAGAGTATGCATATATGAAAATATTTGTCGCTGAAAATTTTAGGGAATGTATAAGCAGCAACTTGTGGTGGAAACATCATAATCGATGAATTTCTTCAGTTCAGGAATGCCCTCAGGGGCTCACTTTTGTGAGTACGGGTGTGGCAATCCCGAGGTACCCTAGCCCTTCAGGGGATCATCTTCTTGGTGAGACGGGTGTCACGATCCTGGAGCCCCAGTGATTCTATCCTCATTTCCGTCTCCTTTCCTCTTGGCTGGAACTTTTTCCCTTCCCTTTTCCCTCGTGGTTTCTCTGTACGAATGGAGTTTGGGGCTCGTCACAAGAAACTGGAACAGACCTTGTCCCTAGTTCTCGAGTGGCGAGAAAACTGCCCACGTGTTTGGGTGCGTGGAGACCCGCGTGTCGCTGGAAAGGAGGGTCTGGTAGTTGAGGGCGAGGTACTGTCCCCAACACACACTGCTTGGCCTCTGCTTCAGCTAAACGGGAGGCACCTTAGTCGTCCTCACGGGTGTCAATCGGCTGGTCACTAGTCCTTGTGTCAGTGGCTTGGGGTCAAGCTCTCGGGAGTAACTGCTTTCGGGAAAGCGACTGTGGGGCTTCAGTTTGCGTTATAGGTCCGGCTAGCCCTAACACAGGAATCTGTGTTCCCTTGGTGGGCTCCATGGTGGGCGGGGCCGTCGGACCCGAATCTTCTCTTACTTCAATATGGTAAATCCACATATTTTTTTAAGATTTTGAAGTCACTCCACTTAACCTAGCTCTGAAACGCCTACTACTAAACCAGTCACTCCACCTAGTTCTGAAATGCCTCCTACTAAACCAGTCACTCAACCTAGTTCTGAAAATCCTACTGCAAAAAATTACGTACAGATGCAAATGAAAAAAATCATAACAATAGTCCCCGTTTCTAGTCAGCTCTAGTCCATCTGGCGAAATGCGCATAAGATGTCTCCTTTCGTAATAATCAAATATATCCAGTCTTGTATTGGTGAGCCGAGAAATATAAGCGTCTCCGCTCCGGAGACTTCCTTATTGATACAATCTCAGCCACCCAGTCTGCTTCTTTACTTCAAATAACTAAACTTGGGCAAGCGCGAATGTCAATGTAACAGCACATAAGACACTGAATTATTGTCGTGGCGTTATATCGGAATTCGACCTTCTGTATGTTCTGAAGAAGAGATTGCTTTCCGAGCTATCCGACAAAATGTCTGCGGTGCTAGGCGGATCAAGATGCGTAAGGAAGGTAAGTTGATCGATACGAAACACGTGATCCTTACCTTCAACACGCCTGATCTGCCTAAGAATATTAAGGCCGGATATTTAAATTGTCCCGTAAGACCCTATATTCCCAACCCTATGCGATTGCTTCCAATGCCAGCGTTTCGGCCATTCTAAGACGTCTTGTCGTGGCAGCCTCACATGCGCCCGATGCCACAGATTGGCCACGATTCTGAAAATTGTACCGCTGCGCCTCTTTGTATAAATTGCAAGGGTGAGCACCCAGCATTTTCACGCCTCTGTCCAAAATGGAAATTGGAAAAAAGAAGTGCAGACTGCAAAGGTTACGAGGAACATCTCATATGCGAAGCCAGAAGATTAGTCCAAAGCACACAGCTACGACCAAATACATCTACGCCAATGCTCTTAAAAGATCTCGTACAGTTGCCACCCAAACCTCAGTTAGTATGCAGACTCCACCAAACAAAATTCAACAGACTACAAACAACAGGAAGAAATAAAACCCAAACCATACAATGCAAAATAAAGAAATAATAATTCAAAGCAAACCCAAAACTACCACACAAAAAGTATGAAATAAAAAGAGAAGTTCCAGCAATACCTCTCTTGATGGAATGGTTTCTGAATCTGCGGATTCATACAGTATAGAATAAGAAGAGGGTCTAGAAGTTTCCAGGCGTCTACTTCCACGAAAAACAAAAGAACAAATACCATTCATAATGGCCACCCTCGTCTCATGGAACTGTCGTGGTTTCCACCGAAATCTGCTCGACATCAAAGCTATAATCAATGTTCATCAACCTTATGCTTCGCAATACAGGAAACAATCTAAAACCGGAACAACAAGCAAACTTCGGAGGTTTTCTTTCGTCAGGAAGACAAACATTGCAGGTGAGCGTGCCAGTGGAGGGTGTAGGTCTCCTCACCTCACTGGATATCCCTCAAATGTGCTTTCTTTGACGACATCCCTCCAAGTTGTCGCTACTCAAACAAATTTTGATTTTGTTGCTACAGTGTTTCTCTGTATTTGCCTCCAAATGAGCATATTGATCAGCAAGATTTAAATGGTCTTTTAGAGCAGCTGCCTGAGCCTTTCATCATAATAGGAGATTTTAACGGCCATAGTCCGCTCTGGGGTAGTAAGGATACTAATTGCCGAGGAAGACAAATTGAGCAGATGATCGAAGATCATAGCCTTTGTCTCCTCAATAATGGGCAAGGTACTTACTTCCATGAGCCTTCAAAAACATTCCATGCTCTCGACCTTGCCATGTTCACCATCTCTGTTGCCTTTTGCACTTTAATGTGGGTAAAGATCTTTACAACAGTGATCATTATCCCATTCTTGTGTCTCTTGCACGAAGAGGAGCAAACCCCATGTCGAGATCCCCTGATTCATACTGGACAGGGCAGACTGGAACTCTTCTCTTCCATTGCAGAGCTCACAGTGAAATGGTAGAAGATGCGCATATCGATGACGCTGTGAAGCTGTTACTAATACTATTATTTCAGGCAGCTATGCTCTCCATTCCTAGAACATCAGGAAAACTACTAAAATATCAAAACCATGGTGAATCGCGACTGTCATGAAGCACTGAAAAAACAGAAAAAAGCATGGGGTATTTTCGTAGATATCCTACTCTGCGAAACCTCATAGCCTTTAAAAGAGCCAAAGCAAATGCACGAAAAGAAGGCAGAGCCAGAGGGATTCCTGGATTTCATATGTGTCGTCAATAACATCCTCACGCCTAGCAAGCGGGTTGGGACAGAGTTGAAAAGCATGCGGCATATAAAGACCACTCACTTTCCTTTTTGGAAAAAGATGGCGAGTGATTAGCTCCATAGAAGAAATTGCGAATACTATCGTGTGAGACATTTGCTTCCGTTTCTTCCAGCAGAAACTATACACCTGCATTTCTTTCTATGAAGCAGCACTCTGAAATAAATCCCATCGCATTCAACTCTTCCAAATCTGAGCCTTACAATAGCGCATTTACTATGTTGAATTAAGGAGTGCTTTATTGCAGAAACATAGGTCTTCTCCGGGTCTGATGGAGTGAATTATGAAATGCTAAAGCATCTGTCCTGTAAGTCACTGAATGCCCTTCTCACTCTTACAATAGGGTGTGGAAGGAGCATGCCTTTCCCAGTGCATGGAAGAGAGCTATTGTCATTCTATTCCTAAGCCAGGGAA